CAGATGAAACCTCTCATCATTCCATGTATTCGCGGTGCGTGTGTCGGGTCCATCGTTGTAGTGAGAGGGGCTTCAACAGTGACTGGGACTTGTGACCCAGGTGTAGGTTTAAGGGACCCCTATCTAACGCGTTATCTGTTATTAACGCAGAATAAAAACGGTCATTTTTGTGTTTAAATATCAGGTTGTCAAAATTAATTATGTTAATAGCTTAGTGGAACATATTATATAAATAGATTTGGTAATTTTTTTAATGATTTCCATTTTAACCACGATTATGTTATGTTATGTTATTATAGTTTTCAGTAAAAATAATTATTATATTAAAAAAGTTTTTATTACATTCTACAAACTCCTTCGTATTTCCACACAGTACTCAAGATTATAATTCGTGCAACAAATAAAAACGTATACATTTACAAAATATTGAAAAAATCTAGCACGAATGAAGCCTTAGATTAAAATACTTGCTACTTCATCTGAATTCAGATAGTTAGGATTATAAATTGAACAGAAATAATGAACCACATCTGGCTAGGATAAATGGGTGGAAAGTTTCTAAAATAAATTCCCTCAAAGACTTTTTTTTATCCTGACTATATATAGAGCCGAAAATAAATTAAATCATTAAGGCGATAAATACCAATTAAACCTGACAAGTACCAATGTGATTGTTCCGAGTCATATGTACTTAAGAGTATTTAGACATCACTGACTGATGAAGGAAAACATCGTGAGGAAACATAGACTTGTATCAAATTATAAGTTTGAAATCACCAAGCAGTCTTGAGCGAGCGTGGTGATTAATGCTCTAACCTTCTCCATGTGAGAAGAGGCTCAGCATTGGGCTCTGATAGGCTGATGATGACGATACAATTAAAAATATCTTTCTCAATTTCACGATGATATTTAAATATATTATCCCTTCTCACATTATAAATGCGAAAGTAACTCTTTCTAACTGTCTGTTACGCTTTCACGCTTAAACTACTGAATTGATTTTAATGAAAATTAGTACAGACAAAGAGTTGACCTTGAGAAAGAACGTGGGATAGTTTTATCTCAGATTTTTGAAAGGTTCTCTTGGTAACGCGATATAACCGAGCTGCACGCGGGCGAAGCTGCGAGCGGAAAGCTAGTTATTTATAAATGAACGTATGATTGAAATAATTTGAAAGTTATAAAAAGTCACAAATGCAACTACATTCGTGTGAAAAATGGTCCGCGTTGTCTAAATATAGTCTCCTAATAATAGCTTTGGCTCAAATCAATACTGATACAAAAATGCGCTTCTATTTACTGTGTATGCTTTCGTTAGAACGTGGTCGTTAAATGAAATTCAAGATCTGGTTAGCTCATTATGGCTAGCTGGTGCAATAGTTGATGAAGAAGGCTGGCATATTCATCACTAGCCATACATAGAAACAAATTTTAGTACATTTGAACCCCTCCCCCCCGTTTTTGTCACAAAAAGTCACATTTGTAAAACCCTCCCATAAAATTTATGTGTGTTAAAATAATCGAGAGAAAACAGCTTTAATAATTCTTTAGTTATTTTCATTTAAATAATAAGTTGGAAATTATTTTTTATATTAAATCGTTACCATTCAGAATTCTTTTGAACTTGAGTGTCTCACTTGCATTACAATATTCTAGAAGTTAAATGACATGAAATCTTATAGCAAGAATGCTCAATATATATAGATTGAGCATTCTTTTATATATATATATATATAAAAGAATTGTTATTCGTTAGTCTCACTTAAACTCGAGAACGGCTGAACGGATGTCAATCATTCTGTCGCACTTATAGGTAAAATCCAAAAAAATAAATAAAAAAATATTTATTTATCTATTGAGGCAGTACGAAGTCTGACGGGTCAGCTAGTTATTAATAAATATAGTACAATAAGTATTATTTTTTTGTCAGTGGTGGCTCAGTGGTTAAAGGGTCCGCCTCTCGGCCTCTCGTCGCCGAGGGCGCGGGTTCGATCCCGGCCCGGACAAGTACCAATGTGATTTTTCCGAATCATATGTACTTTCTAAGAGTATTTAGACATCACTGATTAATGTTGATTCCCAAAAAAGGGTTGATGTCAGGCAGGCGGCCGGTCGTAAAAACAAATAGCCAAAAACTATTCACAACATGTAAGGCAGACCCTGGCTATAGCTGGGAAATTGCCAGGTAGAAGAAGAAGAATAAGTATTATTTTTTAAATTTCAATTCACATCCAAACTTTGTGTATTAATATTTTAAATTTTAATCCCCTTATCACACGATGTTATGTATTGCCTCTTTCTAGTTTTTTATTATTAAACAATTCCGTTCTTAAACAAACCATGTAGTCCCCATTAGTATGGCTATCAATTTGGGTATGTCAAATATGTTTGACATTTATGACGTACATAAAAAATAATGACAAACAGCTGTCAATTTGACAGGTTTGACAAATAAAGATATTAAAAGAGGCTTATAATTTACATATTTTCAGTTGCTCTAGGTACTGATAAAAATATAACTAGAATATTCTTGAGAAAAATGAAATTAATAAACTATTTTTTTCCTTTGACAAACTCCTTCGTGTTTCAAGATTATTCATCCAACAAATAAAAACGTTGACACTTACAAAATTCGCGATTCCAGTGCGAATGATGACAGCATAAAAAAAACAACATATTTAATATGCACTTTTTGATTTAGGAGAAGTTATAAAAACGTTTTCACTTTATTGTAGGTAATGGCTTGCAAATAGAAACACTGTAAATAATTGTTCAATTGAGTAAACTTTACATTACATGACTAATGTAACTTACATTGTATACGATAAAGGCAATAATTATTATTGCATAGTTTTGCTGTATTTTCTGATTCTTTGGTCGTTTCCCAAAAAAAGCTTTTCAAACTAACTACCCTTTTTTAAAGGGTAAGATCATCAAATGACCCCTCTTTTCTTGGGTGGGGCAAGAGGGATTGTCAGACTCCTACTGACTTAAAACCTTCCGATCTAAGCAATGGTATATAATTTCGCTAGCACTGTCAACCCGGCTTTTCATCGGCTATAGGGCTCCATCTGTGGTGATCTGATGGTTCTTTGGGGTACGCTACGTACGCTAGGGTCTAGTTCTAATCAAGCTACAAGCTACCCTTGATTCTTGCTTCTGCTTGCTTGCAGACCCGCTTACGGTGGCTGGAGATCATCTCGTGATACCCAACGCAAACAAATTACCTGCAAAGACAAAAACTAAATCTGACTAAATGTATTGTGTTCTCGAGATATAAAGATTGAATTACCCAAGGCCAGGACCAAATACGGAATTAAAACTATACAGTTTGAGGGAGCGAAACTATATAATAGCTTACATAACGAAATTTTTAATGAAAAAACCTTTAGGATTATTAGAAAGAAATTATTAACTTATTGTAAAAAGCACTTAGATTAACTACTCTTGAGTTGTTTGTCGTTACTACTATACTAAATTGTTAATTAAATTAAATTATGTAATACATCTCTTTTAAGTGAACATTGTACGTTCTGTATGAGAAATAAAGTTTTTTAACCACAAAGATAGGCATAATTATCTGCATAAATTCTGTATTCTTAGAATATTTTCCTCACTGATAATATTTATAAATATTCCTGTGTTGGCTATATATGCTTATATAGGCAGTCCTCAAAGGTATTGTCGAGGTTATGAAAACATGAAGTATTAAAAAAGAGTTATTTTACTATCAAATAAAAATCTCTTAAAGACAACCTATAAGGTCTTTGAAGTTAACAATCATTATTTAATTAATCAGAAAATTCATTCCTATATAGTCTAAACGTAGCTTTAATCAAATATTATATCTACGTACTATAATTTCTAAAGCAACCTTCGCTTTGCATACAAATAATAGAAAAATAATAGCCCCATCGTTACTATAAATAGTACAAATTGTTAAAATTATATTGATCGTGGTATCGTCAATATTACGTGGTCGAAAAATTTGATCAATGATGGAAAGTTAATGAATTGAAAGATAATTTTTAGTTAACTTGAAAATAACTGATTGTTGAATTGAAATATTAAATACATTTGTTGATAATTATAAATGACGTCATAATTGTGATAATTTTATGTATTTATTCTGAATGTCAAATCGATCAAAACTTTTTAGGTGAAAGTACAGTACATCGGCTGTCATAGTTACTACTTATCAGACTAAAGCGAGGGTAGTTTCATTTTTTTATCTAATGTTGCAGTATCAATATAATGATGCTAAAATTTCAAGACGTAGTGATAGTACTTACAAATTTTTATTCATTTCGAAGATATGACCAATATTCAGTGTTTGCCAACTGTTCCGATTTAGGTGTTCTGACGAAGAATATAATCTTCTTGCAGTGGTTCTGTGACTTGTGTCTTAATTGAGCCTTGTCTATACTAAGGCTCGCAATGAGTAAAAAAAAATCTGTACTGTATAGTCTTACTAATTATAGAACATTATTAGATATTTGTGAGTATTGGATTATTACAAATCATATGAATATAAATAAACACTTCAATGCTTTAAAATAGTAGTTATTTAAGGGACTCGTCTTGGTTATTTGATCATAATAATATATTGCTATAATCCTATAATAAGTTTATTATTTAACTTAAATTTAAACATATAAAAAGTACTAGCTTTCTAGTATTCTTGTAAATAGCTTTTTATGCAATTTTTTTTCAAAATTGCGCCCCTGAAAAATGCTCTAACCAGGCTCTGAAAATAAAATAGACTAAAGTGCAGACAAATAAATCTATCTATTGTTTACCAAAGTATATCAGTATATAGCTGCCATGCATGAGATGAAATTAGATACTAGTCTGGTAATTTCTGCGCCCTGTGCCTGGGCACTGCTGGCACCACCCTAGCTACGGCACTAGTTCAAAACCAATCAGTGCACTTCTATGTCGCATTTCCATTCAAGCCAATATACTCCCAAAACTATAAAGATCTTCTTTTTCAGAAAACTATGGATGATGACAGAAAAGAATTTGGAGAAGTATCAGTCAGGAAGGTTGTGGAAAAACTGAACCAGCGTGCACCGAAGAATCTGGACAAATTAAACCTGGATCCAGTTAATCATTATATTGGTGCTTTGGGTCCAACTCACTCATTGATGGATAAAATAACGTTTGAGAGTGAAAAACTCAAAGGAAGCCAGAGTGAGTCATCTTCTAGAAGAAATAGTGATGATGGGGGACGAGCTAAGAGGGAAAGACTACGGGAAGGTAGTTTGAATACACTAATTGAAATAGTACTTTAGTTTAATTAGAACTACTTGAATTCGTTGTTACTTAGAAACTTATTGAGTTTTTTGTTAATTTTTACTTTTCTTCCTTTTTTATTTCTCACCGTTTCTCTAACCTCTTACTAAAATACGTTTTGTATTAGATCTTTATCTTGATTCCACCTTAAAAGAAAGTATCGAAACATAGAAAACACTTAATTATAGAGTTTATTCTCAAAGATTTTTAGGAAATAATAACTGACCCAAGGAGGAGATATAAATTAATGAGATCTAAGGTTTTCGCGAGTACTCATTTAAATGAAACTAATATTTTCGGATTTTACTTCGCGTTTTTTTTGATTACAGAAATTACTTCAAAAAAAAATAATTTTTGATGATTCTATACAGGGTGACTGGTGAATTACTATCAATATTTAAGGATAATACTCGGTACATGATTCTCATTCGAATTATGTAAAAAAAATAGGCACTTAATTTATGACAAAATTTCCGTATAAATAAGTAAAGTGTTGACACGTTCCAAGTGTTCCAAGTGTGGACGCGTGCGGCGGCGTGCTGATACAACACCACGTCACGACATGCGTATGTGTGAGTGTCAGTGTATACCTAATCTGTAGGGTGTTCACACGATGCGTAATTAATTACATAACTTTTGGTTAACTTTACTTAGAAGTTTATTATATTTATGTTATATTAATTTTTATTTTGTCATATATGATCGTCAAATATCACGTCCTCAAATATCGATAGTAATTCACCAGTCACCCTGTATAAATAAGTTAGATACAAAATTATAAACCACAGATTAGACAAAAATCCTAGATCATATCATCATCTTTGCCTAGCTAGGATAACAGCTTCAAATTGAATACATAATAGGAATTGTATCATGATTAAATGTATTTCCATTTAGATGGTACTAGTTCCGAACCGCCAACAGCGAGTGTAACTCACAATACTTGGGAAGACCTCACCAGCTCGACTTCTACCACCAGGACTGAGTTGAGCATCTCTGATGGCGCTGATGAGCAGGTGAGCAATACCTGTCTACTAACTCCTACTTCTACTTAACAATTTCCCAGCTTTAGCAATTGTCTGCCTTACATGTTGCGAATAGTTTTAGCTAATAATTTTTACGATCGGCCTAACATCAACCATCATTGGGAATGCATTAATCAGTGATGTCTAAATACTGTTACATATGACTCGGAAAAATCACTGGCACTTGCCAGGACCAGGATCGAACCCGCGTTCATGAATGAGAGATGGCCTTTTAACCACTAGGCCACTACTGACTCAACCTGTCTACTAACTATCTTATACATATAAAAATGGATTGCTGTTCCTTAGTCTCACTAAACCTCGAGAACAGCTGAACGGATTTATCTTATCATAGTCTTGAAATGTTTGTGGAGGTTCAGGGGGGGTTTAAGAGCTGAAAAATATTGATTAATTTCAGGGAAAACTATAAAAACATCCCTTTTCTATTTCCACTACAAATATTTTCTTTGACATTACATTTGACAACTAACAAATATGTCAATCATTCTGATTCACTTCAGAACACGGTGATTTATGGCTTATAAGTAAACTCCAAAAAAATAAATAAGACGTTATTTATTTCTTGATTGAGGCAGTACGAAGTCTGCCAGGTCAGCTAGTATGTAATAATACACACTTTTCTCAATTCCCACCCTCTTCTACACTCTTAAACTTTTTGAATGCTAGAGCCTAGCTGTGGTCATACTACAGCTTGAACATGGTCTGTCTCGACCGTAAGTACCACCCTCTCACAGAAGATCGCCGTAAAGTAGTCTTTAATGGCTGCGTTTCATCCGATGAGTGAGAGAGACGGTTGCCCTATCCATTCTCCCACCCTTTCCTTTTCCCTCACTTACTTTCCTCCCCCTTATCCCCAATCCAGGGCGGCAACACTTCCATAAATCTAAATTGTGGATTGCAATGAGCAACGGTACTATCTCCACAAGGTAGGCCGTCTGCTCGGTTTCCGGCTTTAGCATAAAAAAATCTATATCTACTTGACTGAGCAAAGTTAGGTAAATTTTATTAAATTGACTTCAAAACATTCAAGATTTTCTCCGCCAATAATTACGATATCTAACAGAATATGTTACTAACATGAAAAATAGTTAAACCACAATCCGCTTTTGTACGGTCGGGTAAAATAAATCAATGGGTATTACCCAGGGGAATGCGTATTTACATAAAGCTTAATGTGTTTCTGATGAAAGTTAAGTGACAGCCGTTAACCTTTATAGATTGATTGATAGAATTCTAGTCTTATACAATAATATGTTTGTTTTAGTGAATAGTTCTCAGTAAAATACCAATTTTGTCTACTATTTTTATGTACTAAAAATATTTAATATTTTACCTATTATATAAATATATATTATAATATTTTTTACGTTTAAATAATGCCATTTTCTAAATACAAAGTCTTACATATTTAGCACATTTATTTTATATAATTTATATATAATTGATTCTACAATACATAGAAAAAAATATATACATATATGTTTATATATTCTCATATATATTATTGGTATATAATATACTGTTTGTCAATACGTTCAATTACCAAAGGCTACCATAAATCAGTGGCCCGCACAGTGATTTGGGGTAGGGTAAGCAAAATAAGTTTGAAAAAAAAACAATTTTTATCATAATTTCCTCATCTAAAACATTGATAATAAGATCTTTCCCAAATATACATATCAATGAAACTAATATTTTTTGATTACTACGCGTAATTTATTATTTTTAACGGACAGACTAAACGTCTGGCGTGATCACTGTTTCTGCGAAGTAATCGAAACGTCGGGAGTATGTAGTTAAAAATTTCTTTTAGAGTCTAATATATATCGATAGACAAAGCTTCTGACAATTGAAATGTATAAAAGCGAATAGCGTATACTACAAACGAGCTAGAGAACATATAATATAATAGCTTATTTAAGCTGAAAAAGCTGTCCCCATTGTGGTAAAACCAATCTAATCTAACAGCTTAAACTATAAAACTATTTTTCAATCATTAAAACCATGTCTGTAAGGTTGTGTAGTGATTGATAAACGACTACCTACCTTTACTATTAGTATTAATGAGATTACTTTTAGATTACTACTTCTACTTCATTACTGTAACGTCCATCAACTTTGGATTTAATTGTAATTATATATTAAGTCAGTGGTGGCCTAGTGGTTAAAAGGCCCGGCTCTCATGCACGAGGGCACGGGTTCGATCCTGGAAAGTACCAATGTAATGTCCGATTCATATGTACTTAAGAGTATTTAAACATCACTGATTAATGCATTCCCAAAGAGGGTTGATGCCAGGCAGGCAGATCGTAAAAACAAGTCGCCAAAATTAGCATAACATGTAAGGCAGACCCTCGCTAAAGGTGGGAAATTGATAGAAGAAGAAGCATTCATTATTAAGTATGTTCTTCTTCGTCCGCGGTGGTAACGTTTTTGTACGTCGTTCTGAGTCTTACACCTAGCTTGAACGCAAAATCATTTCTTTGACAAGTTTAATAAGATGCTGTTACGGTATTTCTTTTATTACTACCATTGTAAAGAACCCTAGTCCCGTGGTAATCTATTTATTTCTTGATAAACATTTAATTAGCCAAAAAGTGATCAAATATTGGAAAGATATAAGAAAACAACTCGATGACATGACCTTCGCTGTTTTTGGAAAAGATATATTTCGCCAAATCAACAGGAATTATAGCATTATTCTATAAAACCTATAATTAGTTTTTATTTCTCACTATGCTTATTAATAATTTTTTCGATCTCAGTTCATTTCTTCTTCAACGAATATGACTTCTAAATCTTCTATATATATAAAAATGGATTGCTGTTCCTTAGTCTCGCTAAAACTCGAGAACAGCTGAACCGATTTGGTAATTAATTTTGGTCTTGAAATACTCCTGGAAGTCCAGGTAAGGTTTAAAAGGTGAGAAAAATTGGAATTATTGCCGGGAAAACCCCAAAAACAGCTCTTTTCTATTTCCTATACAAACGTTTTTTTTTGACATCAGATTTGACAACTAACTAATATGTCAATCATTCTGTTTGATTGAAACAGGAAAAACCTGATTATTTATGGCCTCTAAGACGGAATAGAGTTCGCCTGGTCAGCTATACCTACATATATGTATTACTCTTGACCAAACTAACGCGGACGAAGTCGCGGGCAAAAACTAGTCATTAATAACTTTTCTTTAAGTTTTCCTATTTCTTTAAGTAATTCATAGCGAAGTTATAATAGGTAAATTTCGTTAATAGAAAACTGGTTGAATATTTATAAAACTTTTCGATTAATTGGTAACATTGTATGTTAGGTGAGAACTCGTCGAAGAAGTCAGGAATCAGCTCTCCCCAATACTCCACTGCAGCGTCCCGCGTGGAGATCAGCTGATAGCTTAGCACCAGATTCTGCCTTCGGAACATCACTAGCAGATATTATGGAGAGCCCGAACAACAAGGTATATCCCTACTAATATTATAAATGCGAAAGTAACTCTGTCTGTCTGTTACGCTTTCACGACTAAACCACGAAACTGATTTTAATGGAATTTGGTATAGACAGAGTTGACCTTGAGAAAGAACATAGGATAGTTTTTATCCCAGACTTTTGAAAGGTTCTCTTGGAAACGAGATATAACCGAACTCCACGCGGGCGAAGCTGCGGGCGGAAAGCTAGTAAAATATATATATTCAATCAAACATTATTGACATCGATTTCTGCCTTAATTATTTCTTTTATTTTATCTAAATGTATATTTTTTACCTTCGCAGAGCCCGTTCGTGGAATCAACAGGAAATCAGGTTAGTTTTGTATTATTTATAATATAAACAACACAATTTTGATGGTATGTTTTAAATTTCTTGTTTAAAGCAAAATTTATTATAAGAATATGTTTAACTACCTAGTTATACATTTATTATGATTGTCGAAGTTTTAATTTAAAATATGTTTATAGTCATAATTTTCTCAAGTGAAATGTAATTTCTTTTGAGAAATAAACAATTTTTTTTCATAATATTAGCCATATTAAAGCTAATTAATCTTTCAGATATATCTTCGCGATGATATTATATCTCGGGATAGTTCAGAGGAAAGGCGGGCTAAACTCAACTGGAAGTTAGTAAGAAATGTCACTTCCGCCGCTGGAGCCTTCAATAAGAATGCTCTGCCCGGATCAGCGATACCAAGTTTCCAATCAAAACCTGGAAGTAATCATTCTAATTATAACAAACAGAAAAGAAAAGAATCGATGGGAAATACAAAGAATGAAAAAGTTGAAGATATTGGCGAAATCAGCCCTGAGGTAAATAAATGGATATTTGGTAGGTAGTCATTAAAATGGCATATTAATCTATATATGTATATATAAAAATGAATTGCTCTTCGTTAGTCTCACTAAAACTCGAAAACGGCTGAACTGATTTATCTTATCTTAGTCTTGAAATGTTTGTGGAGGTTCAGGGAAGGCATAAAAGGTGTAAAAATTGATTCATTATTGGGAAAACCATAAAAACAGCCAATTTCTATTTCCCAAACAAACGTTTTTTGACAACTAACTAATATGTCAATCATTCTGTCGCATTTCAAAACACGGAGATTTATGGCTCTAATAGGTAAACTCCAAAAATATAAATAAAAAAACGTAACAGATATTTGTTGATTATAGGGCGATACGAAGTTCGCCGGGTCTTCTAGTATATATATATAATACATGTATTATTTCTCAGGGTCTAGACCCGGATTCCCTAATGTTCCGTGACGGGAGGCGTCGTATTGACATGGTGCTGGCCTACGAGGAGGAGGACTACGGAGTTATGACGGAGGCTGAGGCGAGGAGGAGAGAGTGCAGGAGGACTTTCCAGGTATTTGTGATAATATACTTCTAAAGGTCAAAGGTCAAACTAGAAGAATTCAGATCTAAGACTCGCTAGCAAATTATTATTTTAAACTACATACTCCCGAAGTTGCTATTAATCCTACTAATATTATAATTGCGAAAGTTTGTGAGTGTATGTATGTTTGTTACTTCTTCACGCTTAAACGGCTCAACCGGTTTTGATAAAATTTTGTATATAGGAAGCTGACGTCCAGGAATAACACATAGGCTACTTTACGTCCCGGAAATCCGCGGGTGTACCGCGGGGCGCAGCTAGTTATTAATAAACGTGGTGATAAAGACGTTATGGAAGAAGATGGGAATTATTGTTGGGAAAATAAAATTTTATTTAGCATAAATTGAAACTAGGAACTAAATCTTTTTGTCATTGATTTTGTTTCGTTAACTTCATAACATTTTATTTAACTTAAATATAACTATATTTCTAATCTATCTACATTTTTTACAATTATAAGAACAATTTACGCCCAAAAAGGGTATAAAACAGCACGAAGACATACTAAATATGAGACAGAAGCTGTTATCTAGGTTTAAAGAAGTTTATTTCCAAAAAGAACAAAGTTTGCTTACAAAGAAAGAAATTTTAAAAATTATAACTACTATTAAGATATTACAAATAATAAACAGTGGTGATATTAAACAAGACCAGTGAAATCATCTAATATATGGGTTCTTAATAGTTTTTTAAATACATTTAGAGATTTTTAATTCACAACACTTAGAGGCAAAGAGTATTATATATCAATTAAATCCTTTCCAGGAGAATTTAGTGAAGGAAGGCTTGGAATTGGAGCTTGAGAATAAATGCCTTTCCTTTGATGGTAAAACTTGGTTTCTGAAGATTCACATACCTTGGAAGACAGAAATGAGATTGGCAGAAGTCATCGGCATGAAGTTCCCAACTAAAAGATTCATTACAATATCTGTTAGAGCCTGGGTAAGACTTAACTACGTCTTTTGTACTTGTGCCAAAACTATTATTTATACCAATATATTATATATATATTTATATAAATTAAGTAAACTTTCACTAATCATAGTAATTTGTGTAATCAATCTATTGATTTTGTGCTGTATTTCAATAAAACTCTCTGTTAGATTTCTTTAAACTAAACACTTTTTGTAAGCTACAAAACTAGCACGAGGCTCAAGTTATAATATTGTTATAGAGCACAGATAATATAATATATATCACCTATCCACATACTATCTTAATCTTTAAATTTATTTATTCAACATAACCTAATTCAATTGTAATGAAACTAATGTACTATGAGAAGATTTATATAATATTTTAGAGTATTACTACTTTAATTCCACCAAAATATAACAAAAAATATTTCTATATAAAGGGAAACGAAGTCCAAGCGCAGAGAGAAAAACGTTGGCACACAAAATGGAGGAGAAAATGGAAGGAGTTATATGAATATGAACCAACCAGAATAGAACCTGAACCCTCCTTCTACAGCGCTACGGACAAACCAGGAGTCAGGAGGGAGGAACAGTATGTAGAGTAATAAACTAACACTACAGTGCAATTTACACACAATTATGTCACTTATCTGCCAGTGAAAATCAAATCAAAATCGGCTTATCTGTTTCTGAGATTAGCCGGAACAAACAGAGAGACAGACAATTATATAATAGGATGTTTTTTACAGTGTGCATTCATATACATGTAGTGAAACGCAGTTATTTTAATACACTCAAACATTTTTAGTTGTTCACATTTAAATAAGTTTTATTATCAACGCCATCTAACGTCGAATAGTAGAAACCTATAAATAGATTAGTTCTACCGCCATCTGTTGACGAAAATTTGTATTTTATAGATTCCTAGTAAAAGACAGACACACAATGTTTTCTCCGGCGCAACGCAGTCTCATGGTGATGCAGATTCTGTTGAGAGCAAAATACGATAATAATGATACTAAGGTAAAGAAATATTAAATAATTTTGTTCTAAAATACTACTGAACATTGAGATGCATTTTAATATGTTTACTGGTAAAATATAAAATTATTACAATTAATTTCATATTCTGTAAGCATTATTTATTTTAAATATTCTGATTAAACTTATCGTCAATATAAAATTAGTTAAAAGTACAAAAATCCTGATTATATATATATAATAAAATTTTAATCTTTTACATATACCTCCCTATATATATATATATATATATATATATATATATATATATATATATATATATATATATGTATATATATCTTCAGATGGGTATCCGTCGCCTGTTGAACGACGGTACATACCTGGCGTGCTTCCCGCTGCACGAGGGCCGCTACGACCAGGACAACGACGACAAGACACAGACGGACAGACGGGTGAGAACTATATGTATATACTAGCCGCGCCCCGCGGTGTTACACGCGGATTTCCGGGATGTAAAGTAGCCTATGTGTTATTCCTGGACGTCAGCTTTCTGTATACAAAATTTTACCAAAATCGGTTCAGCCGTTTGAGCGTGAAGAAGTAACAAACATACTCACAAACTTTCGCAATTATAATATTAGTAGATAACATGCTAACTGACCCGCAAAACGTTGTTTTGGCACATAAAAAATAGGGGTTGCTGATAAAAAATTCAAATATAAGGTTGTATGTATTTTTTAATGCGACATATAAAAAAATTGTTGGTTGTTTGATGACGTAATTTGTGAAACTAAACCATATGTTAGCCCAAAAATTCATATTATGATATTATCTACTTTTATAATATCAGAATCTATAAAATTAATTAACATTTTCTTTTTATTCACAGCTTTTATATCTAGAATGGGCTCGTCCTTGCAAGTGGTACAAAAAACAGCCTTTGTGGCTCGTCAGAAGATATTTTGGAGAAAAGATAGCTTTATACTTTTGTTGGCTTGGATTTTACACGAAAATGTTATACGCGCCCGCCATCGTGGGCACACTCTGCTTCTTGTACGGACTAGCGAGCATGAACTCACAAGATAACATACCTAGGTTGGTAAAAATCAATGATATTTGATTTATTATGTATTTAGACGCGATTAGATCGTTTAAGGTTTTTGGAGACAAATATTTTAAGCGGTTAAACAATTTAAATTGCTTATTATATGTGAAAAAGTGTGGTTTTTACATAATTTATGTTATAATCGACTAAATTTACTATTTGAATAAAACGATTTCACTGGCGGATAGATAATATAACTGAAAGTAACATAGACTATATATACATATATAAACTTCCAGTAAGGAAATATGCGACGCCTCCGGACCTGGCAACACCACGTTGTGTCCTCTGTGCGACAAGGCCTGTCAGTATCAACTTCTATCAGACTCTTGTTTATTCGCCAAGCTGACATACTTGTTCGACAACCCGGCGACCGTGTTCTTCGCTATATTCATGTCTTTCTGGGGTAAGAAGAGACATTACCCACACAATGAACCTTATTCACTATTGTAGGTCAGCTTAATCTCTCTACAACTTATTAAATACATAAATAAATAAATAAATGATTCGGGTCTGTCCAGAACTAATATCAATTCATTCTTGAAACGCACTTCGAAGGAAGTATAGTAGGTTTGTTTCAAATTTGGTAGAGAGAGGAGCTTGTACGGTGGAGGTGAGCGTTTAACGCGTTAGATAGGAGTCCCTTAAACGTACACCTGGGTCACAGTCCCAGTCACTGTTGAAGCTCCTCTCACTACAACGACGGACCCGACACACGCACCGTGAATACATTGAATGATGAGAAGTTTCGTCTCTCTATATATATTAAACCTACACCTGGATCACAAGTCCCAGTCACTGTTGAAGCTCCTCTCACTACAACGATGGACCCGACACACGCACCGTGAATACATTGAATGATGAGAGGTTTCGTCTCTCTATATATATTAAACCTACACCTGGGTCACAAGTCCCAGTCACTGTTGAAGCTCCTCTCACTACAACGATGGACCCGACACACGCACCGTGAATACATTGAATGATGAGAGGTTTCGTCTCTCTATATATATTAAACCTACACCTGGGTCACAAGTCCCAGTCACTGTTGAAGCTCCTCTCACTACAACGATGGACCCGACACACGCATATGAATACATTGAATGATGAGAGGTTTCGTCTCTCTATATATATTAAACCTACACCTGGGTCACAAGTCCCAGTCACTGTTGAAGCTCCTCTCACTACAACGATGGACCCGACACACGCATATGAATACATTGAATGATGAGAGGTTTCGTCTCATTTAATGTTAATACTAAACAATTCTTACTTGATATGTAATATATATATAGTGAAAATTGTTATGGAATGCTCTAAAGTACAAAAAGGCATGGTCCAACCAAGAAAAAATATTTGATATTAATTAATTATAAACTCAAGTATATACCGCGAGTATGCCAAGAACAAAATACTATATGTTTTAAATAACGTATTATTGATTTGCAAAATATTTTAGACATACTTCTTATGTCTTATGGTACGTATTTTTAGGTGTCTATCTTTAATTTAGTATACTTACTTAAAACTACTTTTTTTCAGCTACAACATTCCTTGAACTTTGGAAACGAAAACAGTCGGTGTTAAGATGGGAGTGGGATCTAGGAGGAGTTGACCAAGTAAGATATATTCACTAGAAATACATTTTTGGTCTATTTTTATAAAGTATATCTTCATATATACAAATATATATAATTGTTTCATCTTTTATGTCAAGAGATTGTCATTAGATATCGCTTTTCATGTGTCTAATCTAGTCAAAGCCAAAAAATAGTATTCCTCTGCGCGAAAAAAGTGAAACTGTAATGTGGGAATGAATATAAATTGTATGTGCATGAAATCAAACTAAAAAATAATGAATTACTTCGCTGCTTAGCAACCATACCATGTTCATGTGCTTGGAATCTAAGAAGTTTCACTTCAAAATCGGTTTAAAAATCTTACTAATAATAATCAACTCTATGTAGACTGATGCAATGGTTGAGATTCCCATAACAACCCAACATATGGCGCTGTTATAAAATTTTATTTCTCATGCTAGTTTTATATTCCCTACTGCTCAATAGATGGCGCTTTCATAACATTTTAATACCTATAATATTTCCCCATTACCTTAGGACGAGGACCCTCGCCCCGAATTCGAAACGTCAGTCAAAACTTTCCGCACCAACCCCGTGACGAGGGAGAAGGAGCCTTACTTACCGACTTGGCAGAAAACAATGAGATATGTAGCGACCAGCTCGGCTGTACTGTTTATGGTGAATATAATGGATTGTATAGATAAGATATAGGAGAGAATATATAGAAAGAATTATTATGAGTTTTTTGTGTTATCTTTATATTAGTTGTTGAATTCAGGCAGTATTCCAATGAAACTCTTTGTTAGATTTATATAAGCTAAACACTTTATTGAAAGCAAATATGACACAACGCGGTAAGAGTTATAATAACATAAATCACAGATAATATAGAAAATATATATCACCTATCCACAAACTATCTTACTTTATAAATTTACTTTTACAACATTACTACTGTTAATATTGAATATGACGATTGTTAGAGAGAATTATACAAAAGATACTATTGTAATTGATTTTTTTAGTCTTTTCTCTATATTATTCATGGTGAATATTTGACATGGAAAATAGTATAATAAAATATATAAGCGATATTCAAAAATTAACTATTATGATGAATTTTTGGCCTTTTATTTGAGATGGCCAATAATATGGATAAAATAAACAAGTGGAGGAAACAAAAGATACTATTGTAATGAATTAATAGTCTTTTCTGTTTATTAAAAATATTAATAGAGAATATGACGAGTGATATAGTTAGGTATATACACGTTAATTATACAAAAGATTACTTTTCTAATGAATGTATTGCCATTTTATTTTAAGTGTCAATGTTGTAATTAATTCATTCTCTAAAATTTGACTTCAGAAATTAAATAACTTTATATACTAGTCTCAACACAGGTTTGTCAACAAAAAATCTCTTTAAGTATACTATCTGTACCATTAAAAATATTCAATGTTCTTACTAAACTCACCATCTTTAGTATTTCCATAGAAACATTAATAAAGAATCTATTTTTCATTATTTTCTTCAGATAACCATAGTAATGGGCGCAGTATTAGGCACTATAATCTATAGGATCTCTATGGTGTCAGTAATCTACGGCGGCAGCGGGTTCTTCTTAAAGAAACACGCAAAAATCTTCACCGCCATGACGGCCGCCTTGATAAACTTAACGATGATCATGATTCTGACGCGTGTAAGTATTTTTTCATATATACCTGGCAATTTCCCGGCTATAGCCAGGGTCTGCCTTACATGTTGGGAATAGTTTTGGCTAATTGTTTTTACGATCCGCTTGCCTGACATCAACCCTCTTTGGGAATGCATTAATCAGTGATGTCTAAATACTCTTATAAAGTACATATGACTCGGAAAAATCACATTGGTACAAACGAGAGGCGGGCCCTCTAACCACTAGGCCACCACTGACTTATCTGTTATTACTAATTATGTACTATAATCTTCAGTGTAGTGTTTGTATCTATACAATATATAATACACTGTCTCACGTACCCCACTGGAGATGCGGCATGCGTTCGGCAGCCTAACGACTAGCGCGGAGCAGAACGGGGACGTGCGTCGCTCTAGGCGGGGTAGTAGAGAGACAGGGACTAGTTATACTTACAAAAAGTCCTACATATAGAATTATTTGTATGACTGATTATAATAATATATCATTGTAAATTTGTATGCAACATTTAAGTATTTATATTTTTATAAACTATAAATACAGGCTTCAGCCATTTTTTAGATGACTAGAAGTAACGCTGAACATTGAAAAGCAAATTTGAAACTGCACCTTTAACTTTCTAAATAAACTAAACGTATGTCGTTTAACGATAAAACTTGTCGTATTCCAGATTTACGCCAAAGTCGCCGTTTATTTAACGAACGTCGAAAACCCGAGGACTCAGACCGAGTACGAAGATTCCTACACCTTCAAGATATTCTTCTTTGAATTCATTAATTTCTATTCATCGCTCATATACATAGCTTTTTTTAAGGTGAGTTAAAAATATATAACTTATTATATCAAATTTAAGAATATTTTTGGATGGATTGAGTAACTACTAAACAATATCTGCATATCATGGGAGATTTATATGAAAATTTATATAAATTTGTTCGTCGATACCATTTTTAATATACTGAACGGATTACGATGTAACTTGAAATAAGTATAGCTCAGATACTAGAATAATATATACATAATCTTCTATCTTCTTCTTCTATATATATAAAAATGGATTGCTGTTCGTTAGTCTCGCTAAAACTCGAGAACAGCTGAACGGATTTATCTTATCTTGGTCTTGAAATGTTTGTGGAGGTTCAGGAAAGGTTTAAAAGCTGAATTTTTTTTATTAATTTCCGGGAAAACCCTAAAAACAGCGCTTTTTAATTTCCCATACAAATGGTTTTTTGACATTAGATTTGACAACTAACTAATATGTCAATCATTCTGTCGCACTTCAAAACACGGAGATTTATAGCTTACAGGTAAACTCCAAAAATGTAAATAAAAAAACGTAATAGATATTTCTTGATTATAGGGCGATACGAAGTTCGCCAGGTCTTCTTGTATAAAATATATCCTTTAATTCCGTATACTTTATACGAACATGTAACGGTTCTATGCAATTTGAAGAAAAGGACGATAGATAACGAAGGCGTTAAGGGTTAAAATATCTACAATATTAAGTACATCCTTAATATTGTTTATGTATACCAAAGTTAAATAAAAATTAATCAAAAAAATATAATATCGTATGATATGATATTACATAATTTTTCATGAAATATCTTCGGACTTATCTCAAGATATTTATCCCCAGGGTCGTTTCTTCGACTACCCTGGCGACGACCAAGCCAGGAAATCTGAGTTTTTCAAGTTGAAGGGCGACATCTGTGACCCGGCCGGCTGTCTGTCTGAACTATGCATACAACTGGCAATCATTATGATCGGGAAGCAGTGCTTCAATAACTTCGTTGAACTTGGATATCCGTAAGATAATTATTAAAATGCCTTTTTGTAAATTTTTTCCGTGTAAAATTTACTGTTTGTGGTGTACAATAAAGTATCTTCTATCTAAAACAAGTGGCGCCCTCTGTACTTACTAGTTATAGTATCTTCTAATCTTATAACCGTGATAATATTGCTGCAAAGTAAATTAAACGTCGGGAGTAATAGATGAAATAATAAAATACGCGTAGTATAGCATATTAGTTTCATTTAAATGAATACTTAGTCTTATCTCGTGATATACTATAATTCTTAGAATTATTATAATGTCTGATTATAATAATATATTGAACCATTGTAATATAGTGATGGCGACATTTAAGTTATATATTTTAAAACTATAAATACTCGATTCAACCATTTTGAATAGTAGAAGTATAGCTGAATATTAAAAAACTAGCTCATACTTATTACCACTTACTGAATTCACATATGCCTAAAATCTTGACCGTGGTCAGAATTTCAATATAAAATAAAACTTGATTATTAATTAAGATAAAATTCATATATATGTTGAATCTTCTTCTTCTACCTGGCAGTTTTCTAACTTTAGCCAGGGTCTGCCTTACATGCTGTGAATAGTTTTGGCTAATTGTTTTTACGATCCGCCTGCCTGACATCAACCCTCTTTGGGAATGCATTAATCAGTGATGTCTAAATACTCTTAGAAAGAACACATGACTCGGAAAAATCACATTGGTACTTGCCAGTATCGAACCCGCGCCTTTGTGCATGACAGGCGGACCTTTTAACCACTAGGCTATTACATATTATTTTATACTTCATATTAATGAATATTAACTCATTAACTCATCGTAACTCATCGCAACTCAACATAACTCATCATATCTCACAGTAAGTTACACAACTGGTGGCGTCTTCGGTCCCATCGCGCGGTGACCCGCGACCCGACGCGCGCGCACATGGCCTGGGAACAAGACTATCACTTACAAGACCCGGGGAGACTCGCGCTGTTTGATGAATATCTGGAGATGAGTTAGTATTACACATACACACTCACACACATATATATATATATATATACAGGGTGACTGGTGAATTACTATCGATATTTGAGGATGTGATTTGTGACGATCATATATGACAAAATAAAAATTAATATAACATAAATATTAATAAACTTCTAAGTAAAGTTAACCAAAAGTTATGTAATTAATTACGCATCGTATGAACACCCTACAGATTAGGTATACACCCACACTCACACATACGAGTGTGGTGGCGTTGTGTTGTATCAGCACGTCACCGCACGCGTCCACACTTGGAACACTTGGAACGTGTCAACACTTTATTTATTTATACGGAAAATTTGTCAAAAATTAAGTACCTATTTTTTTTACATAATTCGAATGAGAATCATGTACCGAGTATCCTCCTTAAATATTGATAGTAATTCACCAGTCACCCTGTATATATATAACATTCTCCATGTGAGAACAGACTTTTACTCAGCAATGGGCTCTGATAGAATGATGATATATATAACAGGTTCGAATCCTGGGTCCGAATATATTATCATGTATTATGTATTCGTTCAAGCAAGCCCTAGTAGGTTCGTTTCAAATTAAGTAGAGAGAGGAGCTTGGACGGTGGAGGTGATCGTTTAACGCGTTAGATAGTGTCCCTTAAACCTACACCTGGGTCACAAGTCCCAGTCACTGTTGAAGCTCCTCTCACTACAACGACGGACCCGACACACGCACCGTGAATACATTGAATGATGAGAGGATTCAACGCATTGTATAGAAATAAATGTTCAAAAACATTAATCGAAATTGCTATCTACTATACTCAATTCCTTTATCATTAAACTCTAAACATTTTTCATTTAATCTGTCTTTATAATATTAAGATATTAATAAATTATATTTATGTCACTACTAGCGCCATCTCTTATGTATATATGAAACCAATATATTTCTCAGTTCTCCAATACGGTTTCGTGACTCTGTTCGTGGCTGCCTTCCCCTTGGCGCCGTTGTTCGCGTTACTCAACAATGTAGCCGAAATACGTTTAGACGCTTACAAGATGGTGACGCAGGCAAGGAGGCCGCTCGCCGAGAGGGTCGAGGACATAGGAGCTTGGTAAAATATTATCTTTATTGACAGCGCCATCTATTGTCGGAAAGATGACTGAGATAAAACATCACTGTCATGAAATCTGCATAAAGATGAATGTTATGAATGGTGTTATGAATGAATGCTATTTATATTGACAACGCCATCTATTGTCTGAAAGACTACATATAGAATATCACTGTCATGAGATTTCAATAAGGTAACAAACGGTTTATATTTTAGTATAGTAACAAACTGACAGTGTCATCTATTGTCTGAAATAAGACTCCAAACAAGACTATGGATCACATTCATGACATTCTCATAAAAAAAACTACATGGAATTTTAGAATTAATTTTCACTAATATATTATTCTCATGACCGAGTTACAATATTGGAAAGTTACACCAAGATTTGTCTGAACAAATAACAATAAAAACAACTACTGATAGTTTTGTGCATAAAAATGCAAAAAGTACGCAGATAAAATATTAATAGAATTCATAAATCGGATCCTATCATTTTGATATGTATTCAACACTAAGACATCTGCTTTTTAAATTTGTTATACAAATAAAGTTACTAACACTAACAGATTACACTTCATTTGTAATTTAACTATTTATATATACTTTGAAATATATACATACATAATAATATATATGTTTTATCCCAGGTACGGCATCTTAAGAGGTATCACGTACGCAGCGGTGGTGTCCAATGTGAGTTTATTATTACTATTATCATTGCTTTAATAACGACTATATCTCAGTATATTATCTTCTTCCTAGCAATTTCCCAGCTTTAGCCAGGGTCTACTTATCTCAGTATATATATGTTTGTATATTTCCAGGCGTTCGTGATAGCGTACACGAGCGACTTCATCCCCCGCATGGTCTACAAGTACGTTTATTCTCCTAACAAGACCCTGACCGGGTACATAGACCACTCTCTGTCGTGTGAGTATTTATTAATATATCAAAATATACAAAAAAAATATCTTCTGACACTTTAAATAATGAATATAAATAATAAATTGATAGATATGGTCAAAAAAGTATTTATTTAATTGATTATAGCTTCAAATAGTTATCACTTTACGCCGATATCTATCGCTATACACAATAATTTTAACCAAAATCTCCTTACATATACTAAATACTTTATATTATTTATTTACTTATGTACCAAAAAGAAAAAAATAGTTACAATTAAAGTATTATAAAAGAAATGTGATGTACAAAGGATAACTTATCTCTTAAAAGAGAATTCACCAGAAATCCTTTTGATAGAGGAAATGAGAAGAGAAACGTGGAATAGGTATAATAAGATGTTATTATTGTATTTATTATGAGTACTATATTTATTTAAAGTGTTCAACACATCCGACTATCGAGCTGACTGGGGCGCGGACAGCGAGACCGATCCGCCGGTGTGCTCTTATAGGGGTTACCGCAACCCGCCGACACACAGCGACCCCTACGGACTATCGCCGCACTACTGGCATGTGTTCGCGGCTAGGCTGGCCTTTGTCGTGGTCTTTGAGGTGATATACTATACTTTACTTTGGGGTTATAGCTAAGAATTAGTGAGTAAATAACAATGGGATTGCTAATTCAGGATTAACAAGTTACAAGATAGGGTTTGATTAGCAATATAAGCACGATATTTGGTAGAAAACGTCAATATTTACTTTATTATTATCTCTTGTATGTCGCTTTTGGAGGGATCACCTCAAAACCGATCTAGCGGCCCTTTATACACGATCCACTTACTAGAAAGTTCCAGAACATTCTCGTTAATATCTCTACTTGATAATATAACAATAGAAATGTTCCAGTAAAATATAGCTAATATTTTCGTCCACTCGTCACTAGATGGCTCTGTTTTAAAACATTCTGCAATGTTCGTTATAAAGCTTCTAGTTCATACACTCGTCACGAGATGGCACTGTTAGAAAACATTCTACACTATTCGTCATAGTTTCACAATTATATTAATATTTCAGCACGTGGTTTTCGGTCTGACGGGTTTGATGCAACTCTTCATACCGGACGTGCCGACCGAGCTCCGGATACAGATACAGAGAGAGGCGCTGCTGGCCAAGGAGGCCAAGTACGAACACGGACGGAGGAGGCTGTCTACGGAGTACAGGCAGCTGCTGACACACACGGACGACGGTGAGACACACACACACACGGATAGACAGACACACACACACACGGGCGGACGACGGTGATACTCTTATAAAGTACATACGACTCGGAAAAATCACATTGGTACTTGCCAGGATTGAACCCGCGCCCTCGTGCATTAGAGGCGGGTCTTTTAACCATTAGGCCATCACTGACTAACTTCACACTTACATCTATTATAAAGAATTCTCCTGAATGATGCATGGATTATGACGATGATTATTTAATTCTGATATCTGAGCTACAATCGGTCAAGATTTATCAACATCCATTTAATATCATACGTACCATCAATATAATATATATTTCTGTCTGCAGAGCGGGCCTCGGGGCCTTACCAGCGTCGGACCTCGCGGGCTTCAGACGGCCTGGACGCGCACGTAGCCGTCACACAAAGACCTGCCTCACCGAAAATAACACACTGATAACACGATAACAAACTGATCTAATTATATGAGAAAAGATACTATATAAAATCGTGTTGAAGTGAGCTCGTAATGTTGGAATGAAAACAGGAAAATAGAAATTGATTTATAATGAAATTTCTTTAAGACAAACTATTAACATTAATTACAAGTCAAAATTTATTGCTCGCATTATCTTTCTATCCCTCTCCTAACGTTAAACATTTAACGCAACCCAGTTACAAGACGCATAAGGAGTTTCACTTCAAAAATATGTCGTTGAAACTATACATCACGTAAATTTAAATTATGTTTGTCAAAATATTTAAATCGCATCTCAATATTTGACAGTGACCTGTCAAAAGTGATATTAATTTTAATTGTCAAAATTAATAAAACAATTAAATGAAATTATACTCGCTGTATGTTTGAGAAAATTAAATATATGTATTTATTTGTAAATATAAGATATCCTAGAAATTAGTAAGTAAGTTTATTTATTTCAATATTTATAACTAAGTAAGCTTGTGTGTAAGTGCAATTTTTATTTAAGTGATCAGTTTTTGACAACATACAAATTACTTCAAATATGAAAGTCGTATTAATATATATAATAGATAATATCAATACTCAGAAACTAAGAAAGCCAGTAATTTGACAAATAAATGAAAATTATTGAATTGAAAATAAAAATTACTCTTTAATATTTACATTCTGTCAAAATGTGTCAAAGTCAGAAAATTTGGCGGCAACTTTGTTATACAAAATATATCTGTAATTTTGTGAACTTGTCAAGTTTTGTATAAACACGTACTTAAAATACTCAATAAATAAATAAATATGGTTCTGTGTAATTTTATTTTATTATATTTCGCCCCTATCGTTTGATAACTTGCAATAAAAATAAGAATTATTTTTAACGCCATCTAGAGGAATTGTGTGTAAACTTCTTTATAACTTCAACTATAAAAATAATTATAAATATAATTATTAGTAACGTCTATCATTTAAAGTGAAATTTAAATTAACATTTCTTTTTATTTATTGCATCTTTATATACTTTTTATCATTCTAGAACTTATAAAAGTTAATTTTGGCGGGAAAAGGCAGTTTGAAACTAACCGACGTATTGTATCTGATAACACTAAATAAAGGATATTAAAGTTAAATCTTATGTAGTTATTTCAAAAATAATTAAACAAATACCGTATAAATATAATTTTATTACTTTTTTTTACATTAAACTTTAACTTTTTATCTACAAACAAGAAATCAAGTTAATTTTGAACAAGATCAATGAAGAATGAAATCAGTATAGATATATTATGTATTTTAAGGAAACTCCTAATGGGTTATTCTAGAAAAATTATCAAAAAAATATTGGTTTTAACACTTTAAAATTTACGAAACCCAAAAAAACTTAGTTCTCATTATTTAGTAAAAGTATATATATATGTATTCCTAAAAATCTATTTTTATTTGTCTTTATGTACTTGTGTATCTTTTATTAACAATGTTTGTTTTAAAGCGGTCATTACAATTGAAATTAGGTCAAAGGGTCAATCAGAATGTTAATGTACTGCGGTCGATGACCCCGGCGTGATTATAGGGCTATTGGCATTTGTAAGAAAAACTTATTAAAAGTAACAATTACTGACACTAAGAAATGATCATAATTAAAAAATATTATAAGCATTTATATTATTTTATTAATATGTAATAAAATGATTTAATGACATAACCATATAATAAGTTATTGTTCGTGATATTTAATTAATTTTTCAAGATTGTAGCGTTAAATTTTAAATAGAATTAATCTTATTTAAGTGGCTATAATTCTTATAATCAACATAATATATTTATATGTCAAGCATATATTCATTTACGAAATATAACACGTGGCAACACTTATATTTGTAATTTCATGTGATATCCTAATGAAGCAACCCTAAATAATATCAATGCATGTTTTATTTGTCACCATTATTGAAGAGATATTATTCCCAAAGAGGGTTGATGTCAGGCAGGCGGCCGGTCGTAAAAACAATTGGCCAAAACTATTCACAACATGTAAGGTAGTCCCTGGCTATAGCTGGGAAATTGCCAGGGTGAAGAAGATTATTGAAGAGATCTCGTCTTAATGATCACGGTTGTTGTAAAGTAGCCGAAACGTCGGGATTATGTACCTAGTTTTTATCAAATATAAAGTGGCGTAGTATATCCGAACAATATTAGTTTCATTTAAATGAATACTCGCGGAAATCTTATATCTCATTATTAGTTTACTTGTCCTTTAAGTATTCGTATACTGCCTAAATCATTAAATCTGGTTAAATAACACCTGGTTCATATCGAACTAAGTCGTGTAAGCCCTAATAATTATTGTCAGATTTCAACAACCAAAATGTAAGATCGTGGGAATTATTCCTAAATCAAATGGATCCTTTTTCCTTCATAACTCTATTCCTACTCCAATCCTCTGAATATTTTTCTTATCCTGTGTCTAGTTACGTAGATAACACAGTTATGAAGAAGTATCTTCAACTCAGAGGCCAGTTACAGAAGGCATGGTAGATTGTATTAATTTCACATGCAATACTTAACAAGTTATAATTTGATAGAAAAAAACATTTCCTTAGCTATAAATTATCTTAAAGTATGTGATTTAGTTAGTAAATAATTTGAATATTTTTAGATCAGAAATTATATTGTGGTATGATTTGTTTTAACTTAAATAAATATACCAAAAATATTATCTCCAAAACTCCTTTTAAAATGGAATACAGAACAGTGCTGAAAATTGTTAATAATATATTTACATATAAAAAAAGCCTCAAAGCTTATAAGATCCACATTCCAAACAAAGTATATATAAGATTGGTATCTTATCTCTCTCTATCATCATCATCATCATCCTATCAGAGCCCACTGCTGAGCCTCTTCTCACATGGAGAAGGTTTGAGCATTAATCACCACGCTCGCTCAACACGGGTTGGTGATTTCAAACTTATAATTTAATATAATAAGTCCAGGTTTTAATTTTAGAATTAAAATTGATTTATTTAAATTGTTATCACGTGTACAACTTGGCAAATAAATCTTAATAGATTACTTAATGTTTTGTTTTAACAATAAGAGTTTTTACGTTCAATCAAGTGTAAGGCCAGACGTATTTAAAATCCAGACGATACAATTATTTCAATCTTTCAAAGAATGATTGTTCAATTTGATTCTTTTGTTGATAAATAAATTTTAATACATATATGTATGTTGATTAGTAAGAGCTGTTACTTGCTGCTACTTTAAACTACAACTAAAACTTAGTTTATTAATCTTCCTCCTGGATAGCTCTCAGACTGCCATGTTTACCATACTAAATTGATCCATCAAAATTTGAGAATACTAATTTAAAAAAGTTACTTATACTTTTGATTTAAACAGTTAGGAAATATAAAAAAAAATATCATTAATTATTGAGATGAGGTTATTAAAATAATTAAGTAGATTAAAATTCCTATATTTATTTATTTATTTCTATTGGAACGAAAACGAAACCGTTTCACATATCAGTGCTGAGTACTGCTAAATGTTGTTAGTATCCCTTCTACAAAGTCTACTCACAAATTAGCCAGTGTTACCAATATACAAATCTCTTACTAATATAAAGTATATAATAAAATTTATAATCTATTATTAATCTTCTTCTTCTTCTAGCTGGCAATTTCCAAGCTACAGCCAGGGTCTGCCTTAACATGTTGTGAATAGTTTTGGCTAATTTTTTTTTACGACCGGCCGCCTGCCTGACATCAACCCTCTTTTAGGAATGCATTAATAAGTGATGTCTAAATATTCTTAGAAAGTACATATGACTCGGAAAAATCACATTGGTACTTGCCCGGGCCATGATCGAACTCGCGCCCTCGGCAACGAGATGCGGGTTCTCTAACCACTAGGCCACCACTGACTATAATCTATTATTAATAAGTATTCAAATTATTTTTGATAAAGTTGTCATATAATAATGATTAGATAGTCCATTTTTTTTTGGTGGAAATGAAGCCTTTATAACACAATATTTCAGTACCAGCATAATCTCTAGTCTCCAATACACTCATATTATATTGGAAGTAAAGACATGCAGTCAATGTGTCAAAACCTTTGAGGCTCATGAAGTAGTATTACAAGTATGTAGTAGATGAACTTGCCGTTCGCCTAGTAATTACAAAACTTCCAATACAATCAACGGCCAGTTAGCCTTTTTTTATCTAGAATCTTTGTACCTACTCTAAGTTAACTACATACGCAGCGTTAACAGTTGTTCATTAATTATCTTAGGGGTCCCTTATACCTACACCTGGGTCACAAGTCACAGTCACTGTTGAAGCTCCTCTCGCTACAACGACGGACCCGACACACGCACCGTGAATACATGGAATGATGAGAGGTTTCGTCTCGTAGTTATTGAATGAGAAACTTTAAACGCGTCGTGTGTAGTAACGATGCAAACTTGTGGTAAAATCAATAGAGGAATTACCATCAACAAAATATAACTGCGGGATGAAAAACAAAGATATGACATCAACATAAATGAATTCACAGAAACAGTTACGTTTATGAACAAACTTGTAATGATTATAATAAATTATATATATATACGGGGTGACTGGTGAATTACTATCGATATTTGAGGACGTGATATTTGACGATCATATATGACAAAATAAAAATTAATATAACATAAATATTAATAAACTTCTAAGTAAAGTTAACCAAAAGTTATGTAATTAATTACGCATTGTGTGAACACCCTACAGATTAGGTATACACACACACACACACGCGTGCGGCGGCGTGGTGTTGTATCATATCATGTATATATATATGAAAATCATAAAATATGTTAAAAGTATATGTTCTAAAATCATCATCCTCATCATCATCATATAGATATATATGTCATACTAAACTTACAAGTAAATTAAGTTACATATTATATATTAAAAGTTATTCTTTTCTACGAGTAGTCCTCTTTACTGAATCAGAATAGAAATCAGAATATTTCGTTGCATCCATTACCGAGTGACAAACATCACCTTCATATTGATAGAAAGAATAATAAAACAATATATATACATATATATATTATAAAAATGAAATTATTTTCCCTTTTATAATGATTCAAAAAACAAAATATTTACGTTACACGATAAAAGTAACCCAAAAATATAACTAAGAAGATTAAAGGATAAGAAATGGTATTGATCTAAGTTTTTACCGGAAAATATAACAAAAAATTGCGAAATATATATACTATTTATATTAAATATTACTTAAGTATAACTATACAATTACAAAATCAACACGATTTATTGGAAAACTTAAGTTTAAACACGATAACCTATTTAATATGAAAAAAAAATAAACGATAATGTATGTAGCTACATTTGTCAGTCGTGGTTTGAACTTCGGCGGGAACGGTCGCTATGAGAGAGAAATGGATGTAGAAAAAACATCAAGTTCCCTCATGCCGAAGGAGGAAAAGGCGGTTATTGTGCCAGGGAATGGAGTCGGGAAGTTCCTTATACGGGAGGACACGATCCTGGCAGGCCTGCCGGGCTGTGCAGGCTGTGGCAGAACACAGTTGACCTGTGCAGGTGTCAAGAAACAATGGTCGGCTCTGTGCTGGGGTAAACAGTCGGATAAAAAGTACTATACAAGTAAGTTAGAATTATTTATATAGATTTTTTAATATCTTACATATATTATCCAGATTTGAGATATATACTTATTATATGTGAAATTTTATTTAATTCAAAGTACGTAATTACTAGCTAAATTTTCGCGAGTTACAGTTTAGGTTTTTCAATGAAAAATGAGTTTAAAATCGTATGTATTTAAGAAAATTATATATTAATAATGAAACTAGAATATATATAATAGCAATAATACATTAACATCATTTGTTATATATAAAATAATAATAAACTACATACATTGAGATAATTTTCGAGAGACGTAATTATTATCGACGGACTTTGAAACTTCCTTCTGATCGAATAGTTTGCACAAATATTCTCCATCGTCAAACATGGATAGAAAATGATATATATGTATATATTTATAGGGATTTTTGCAGCTATTATTAATAAAAACTTATATATAATTGCGTAGATACAAAAAGTACTTATATGTGTAGAGACGAAACCTCTCATCATTCCATGTATTCACGGTGCGTGTGTCGGGTCCATCGTTGTAGTGAGAGGAGCTTCAACAGTGACTGGGACTTGTGACCCAGGTGTAGGTTTAATATATATAGAGAGACGAAACCTCTCATCATTCAATGTATTCACGGTGCGTGTGTCGGGTCCATCGTTGTAGTGAGAGGAGCTTCAACAGTGACTGGGACTTGTGACCCAGGTGTAGGTTTAATATATATAGAGAGACGAATCCTCTCATCATTCTATATATTCACGGTGCGTGTGTCGGGTCCATCGTTGTAGTGAGAGGAGCTTCAACAGTGACTGGGACTTGTGACCCAGGTGTAGGTTTAAGGGACCCTATCTATAGTTAAACGATCACCTACACCGTACAAGCTCCTCTCTCTACCAAATTTGAAACACACCTACTAGGGTTGACTTTGAAGTACATTCCAAGAATGAATTGATATTAGTTCTGGACAGGCCTAAGTCTTTTAATAGGTAATTAGCACAGATTAATATGAATCAAGGTGGTACTTCACTAGGCGTTTATTTGTTGTTCAGCCAAATAAGACCATATATGGAGGATATATTCGTCTTCATTCGACATATTTGCACAAATACACATACACTATTAAGCGAAAACAAATAAAGTCGTGTTTTGATGCCAAGTGTGGATGTCGTGTTTGCGCTATTTGGACTATATACAAATATTTTGACAAATACGGCGAATACGCAACGCCAAGTGAAGCGCTTTTAAATTTACCGAGACTAAAACGTAGTGACTAAAACATTAGTACTTATTTAAATAAATTACAATAAATATAAAAATGATTGATGACTGGAAGCAGATTTGAAAAAACTAAGCGCAATTTAACATTTTACGCAATGATATTAGATAGTTATTTCCGTGTTTGCGAGTAAAATAAAGTTTTATAAAGCTAGTTTCCGCCCGCGACTTCGTCCGCGTTAATTTCGGAATTAGTAATATATGTATATCTGACCGGGCGAACTCTATTCTACCCTAGAGGCCATAAATAACCAGATATTGGAATTTAATAAGTTTTTTTTCGATTGAACAGAATTAAATATCCTATGTCAGTCTTCTTATTCTAAGCTATCTCGCCACCAATTTTCAACCATATCCGCACGCCCTTCTTCTTCTTCTTGCTGGCAATTTCCCAGTTTTAGCCAGGATCTGCCTTACATGTTGTGAATAGTTTTGTCTAATTGTTTTTACGACCGGTCGTCTGCCTGACATCAACCCTCTTTGGGAATGCATTAATCAGTGATGTCTAAATACTTTTATAAAGTACATATCACTCGAAACAATCGTATTTGTACTTGCCAGGATCGAACCCGCGCCCTCATGCATGAGAGGCGGGCCTTTTAACTACTAGGCCACCACTGACTAAAAGTAAGTGGAAAAAATTAAATTAAAAACGAATATTATGTAGCCATATGCTATTATCACCATGCGACCTTAACCTCTTTACACTGACCTCGGATTTCGATAAAATTTAAACACGCACTAATTTAAAATGATTTGAAAATAATTGAGAAGAAAAACATCTTGCATAACAATAACTTATATACATATATACTAGCTTTCCGCCTGCAGCTTCGTCCGCGTGGAGTTCAGTTATCTCGCGTTTCCAAGAGAACCTTTCAAAAGTCTGGGATAAAAACTATCCTGTGTTCTTTCTCAACGTCAACTATATCTCTGTACCAAATAACATTAAAATCAGTTCAGTGGTTCAGGCGTGAAAGCGTACCAGACAGACAGACAGAATTACTTTCGCATTTATAATATTAGTAGGATTTCAGATTTACCAAAATACCATTTTACCAAAATACGACGTATTATGCAAATGTCACTTTAAAAGCTTCAAAAACACTAATTTAGTAAAATTTTCGATAGTTTTCTTTAAAATCATTTGTTTTATTACAATATTAAGATTAATATTTGTAGAAACTTCGATTTATCGAAACGGTGAATCTTAGAAAAGTGACAAAATCGCATTAAATAATATTGTTTCATTCAAATATAGTGTTGTCAGACAAAATAAATGAAATTTAAGTTTCATTTTTTATAATGGCAATAATCATATGGCAATAATGAAATAATAAATTAGATTTATGATAATATTTAAAAAACATTAAAATAAAGAAAAAATATAAAATAAATATTTTCTGTAAAAATTATTGATTAATTATTAAATTTAGTATCCCTAAACTACTTAAATATAAAAAAATAATGCAAAAACAAGTCGAAAATTATAAGATGTCTGTCATTAATGTGTTGTGTCTAAGTATACATTTTTATCAAATAACCGTTTCGTCGTAAGAAAATAATTGACACGACCTTGTGTGGCATTTATAATTAGAGGAGAGTCGGGGTATTGAGTATAGTAAAATATATATACATATGTATTAATTAAATATTATACTTTTTTCTTAATAATGTTTAACAAATAATAAATTTAATGATATAACCATTCTTCAAAATTTTTTCTTTATCATTTTATATTTAATAAAATAATGAGTTAAAAATTTAAAAAGTGAGAAAAGTCATTGACAAAGTTTTTGAGATTTAAGATTTTAGTGAGTATTCATTGAAATGAAAGTAATATTATTAGTATATACTACGTATTTGTAATTGTTTTAACCACGTACTGCCGACGTTTCGGTTACTTTTCATCAACCGTGATCATTTAGACGAGATGTGAATGTATGTACACATCAAAATGGATCTATTAATTCGACTAGCTTTATAATTATTTACCATGTGGAGGAAAAACTCGATTTTATTCATATAGGTATTGTAAAGTAAATACTACATAATACAAATGTAAAAAATATGTACTTAATAGTTATTTTTTTATGATATGTGGTGATAAGAATTAAGAAAGTAAAATTTTGTGTTGTATGTATTTTTTAATGCTACATTATAAAAAAAAAATACATAAAAATTCGTCCGAAAATTAAAAAATTAAGGGTGAACAACCCTTATGACTTAGTGGTATGAAAATAAATGTTGGCCGATTCTCAGACCTACTCAATATGCTCACAAAATTTCATCAAAATCGATCCAATCGTTTCGGAGTTCTCTGTGTAACACCGCGACATGAGAATTTTATATATAAGGCATATAAATAGAATACAAATATTCTTTACAATGTATTTTAATTTTGTTTTAATTGTTATATACTCGTATTCCGAATTTTTGACTTCTACACATCAAATATAATAAATTAAATTGAACACGATAAAAACTGATATATTTATTATTCTTTTATAAACTAACTATTAATCATCTATATACATATTTAATCTCAATCACTAGCATTTATTGTAACAAAAAACCGGTAAATTAATCTTAAATTCCAACTCTATAGAAGCGATAAAAAATAATTAATAATACATTATTTACTACATATGTTTTGTTCTATAAAAAACAGGAATATTATCTCAATGACTGTTATTAATGAAGATATACATCTTAACAATGTTTATTTTTTTGTTTATTATTATGAATAAATGAATTATTATGTTGCATTTAATTATTATTGTATTTAAACGGTCCTGTCAATAGGTACATAAAAATAAAAATAATTAGTATATATTTATTAGTCAGTGGTGGCCTAGTGGTTAAAGGTCCGCCTCTCATGCGTGAGGACGCGGGTTCGATACTGGCAAGTACCAATGTGATTTTTTCGACTCATATGTACTTTATAAGAGTATGTAGACACCACTGATTAATGCATTCCCAAAGAGGGTTGATGTCAGGCAGGCGATAGATCGTAAAAACAATTAGCCAAAACTGTTCACAACATGTAAGGCAGACCCTGGCTATAGCTGGGAAATTGGCAGGTAGAAGAAGAAATTCATCTACACTAGCTGGTTAATGATTCCAACCTGTAACTTTAATCACGGGCAGAGATCTCGTCTTAATGATCATGGTTGCTGTAAAGTAACCGAAACGTTGGGAATATGTAGTTTATAATCAAAAATAAAAAATCGCGTAGTACATCCGAAAAATATTAATTTCATTTAAAAGACCACACTCGAAACGAAGAGGTTTTTGTTATAAATCTTCTATTTTAATAATAATTTTTTCTCGTCCACATTTAAACGAAACTAAGTTTCTGATACATATTACAAGTTTTTTTTTAATATTTTATAAACTAGCTTTCCACCCGCGGCTTCGCTCGCGTGGAGTTCGGTTATATCGCGTTTCCAAGAGAACCTTTCAAAAGTCTGGCATAAAAACTATATTATGTTCGTTCTCAAGGTCAACTCTATCTCTATACCAAATTTAATTAAAATCAGTTCAGTGGTTTGAAAGCGTAACACACAGACAGACAGAGTTACTTTCGCATTTATAATATTAGTAGGGATAAGACATTTATGCATTTTAACGATATTTTTATTTTAAACAGTAGTAAAAGTAAATTAATTCGGTAGTTTTATTTCTGAAAATCATTAAATATTAAAACTTTGTTTCAACTATGATGGTGAAGAATATAACTTAGCATGTTTACCATGAGTACGTACACCATACTCTCAGTTTTTAGTATTTAGAGACTATCAACTAAGAGTGAGTAGATAGGGACCCCTTAAGTTTGATTACATAGAGAGAGGAGCTTGGACGGTGGAGGTGAGAGTTTAACTCGTTAGATAGGGGTCCCTTAAACCTACACCTGGGTCACAAGTCCCAGTCACTGTTGAAGCTCCTCTCACTACAATGATGGACCCGACACACGCACAGTGAATACGAGTACATGGAATGATGAGAGGTTTCGTTTCTATACATAGTATTTTTTATTACTTGAATATTTACAAATTCTGATCCACGAAACAGTGATAACACATCGTATGATCGTATGTTTACATAATAACTATTAATTTATTATTTATATAAAAAAATAATACGACCTCATTTCGTTCTTTATATATATATACATATGTTTAATTGTTTTGACGGACGACACATTGTTTTTATTAGTACTCAGATATGGCGACGCCATTTTGTTTTTCGTTTTGAAATAACGACATTAATTTTCAATAAAACTTTCATTTTTTTGTTTTTGTTGTAACAATGACTTGATATAAACATGAATAGAGTAGAAAATATTAATTATTTAAAATAATTGCGACAGAGTTTAGTGAATTAAAATATTATTATGTATAATATATAACCATATAATTGTTAACAAAAGTCTATACTTACTTACCCTTAAACATATACATACAAACACATTTTATTCTTTTAATCATATTAAATAATATAAGAAAAATATATTAAAACCTAAAATATTATTAATTTAAATTATTCTCAAATTTTTGAAGTACATACTCATAAATCTAAATTAAATACCTCCTAGCATTTTTTCTGATATCTAAAACACTTGATATTAAATGGTTAATAGACATACATATATTTTTTAGCATTTATATAAGTAGAGAGAAAAAACTTTTTTAATTATTAATATAGCAACTAAGTCAGGAAAAAATCTTGAAATATGTACATAATTGTTTGATTTATTACATATAAATACGAATAATAAAGGTAGTTTATATATTTCGTTCTTATAATAACTAATATTATTTATATTTTTTTGCAGTGCTAGTTATTCTATCAGCTACATTCGCTTTGAGCTTCATAGGCACAATATTCTTCTGTTTTACAAACACACTCAACGATGCCATATTATCGGTAAGCAAACATTATTATTACTATAATTAAAAACAAAAATTTGAGTTAAAAAACCGATAAATTGAATATTGTATTGTTTTAAATATAATATTACTAAAATTCCATATTATTTTGCTTCAAAAATCTTATTATTATCTAATTAGTTTCGGTTGTAAGTGTCTAATCTTTGAGCTCAATTTCAATAATTTGTTTTACGATATATCTTATATTTAATGTATTAAATTAAATATTTTATATATTTTTCTTAATTATAATATATTATTTGTACAGAACATGGTGATAAAAAACAACACATTAGCGTATTCAATGTGGCGACGTCCGAGCGTCCAGCCACTGATGAAAGTCCATGTCTTCAATTACACCAACTGGGAACGAGTGAGGTCGGGTCTGGATGAAAAGTTAATAGTACAGGATGTTGGACCTTTTATATACTCGTGAGTTATTTTTCTGCCTTGATTCCACTTTATGTATGGCACAACATATTCTTAACTTACAGTCTTGCCTATTAGTTATACCTTTCTTAGCCATATCATCCTTCTTTAGGTCTACCTCGACCCACATATCCCTCCACATTCATACCTAACATTCTTCTTATTATATGACATTCATCCCTTCGCATATGAGACAAATATAAAAAATAAATAAATAAATAAATGAGTTTCTTTCGCCGGTTCTTCTCAGGTCAGGGTATTTTCTTTTCCGAACCGGTGGTAGTGTCTCAAATGACCATCAATAAGAAAGTGTAATGCTTCTATATTGATCTAGCTAGCTATCTTTTGTCAAAGCTAAGGAACTATAGCTCAGTGAGTAAAGTGACTGAAAGATTAGTACGAATTGAATTTTTTTTGTGAAAAATATTATGTTTGCATTAAGTTATATATACATAGATTTCTTTATAAAATTTTAATAAAAATACATATTTATTAAGTTTACCACAAGTTCAACTACACACACATGTACACTACGTAACTATAATGTGATTTATGAATGAAACACTGTTAACTTAAAGTATGTAGTGACGATACTCACTAATAATAAGGCTAAAATAAGCCTCTTATATTCTAGCAAACAATTTGTTTAACATAATCATTATCCTTACTAATATTATAAATGCGAAAGTAACTCTGTCTGTCTGTTACGCTTTCACACCTAAACCACTGAACTGATTTTAATGAAATTTGGTACAGACATAGAGTTGACCTTGAGAAAGAACAGGATAGTTTTTATCAAAGACTTTTGAAAGGTTCTCTTGGAAAAGCTATATGACCGAACTCCACGCGGTCGAAGCTGCGGCCGGAAAGCTAGTTAATGATAAATTCAACTAGTATTTTTTGTCAACTTCCATTATACTATCGTTAAACGATAACCACATGTGTCAGGAACTCTTCCTTTGATTGTAACTTCACAAAGATAATACAATCTATTTGAAATAAAAAAGAGGAAATGCTTCCAATATAAAAATGAATATTATTATATAATATTTGATAACAAAAAGTTAGTTCACAACATTGAGTCAGTGGTGGCCTAGTGGTTCAAAGGCCCGCCTCTCGTTGTCGAGGGCGCGGGTTCGATCCTGGCCCGGGCAAGTACCAATGTGATTTTTCCTAGTCATATGTACTTTATAAGACTATTTAGATATCACTGATTAATGTTGATTCCCATAAGAGGGTTGATGTCAGGCAGGCGGCCGGTCGTAAAAACAAATAGCCAAAACTATTCACAACATGTAAGGCAGACCCTGGCTATAGCTGGGTAATTGCCAGGTAGAAGAAGTTAGTTGAGAACATTCACATCTCGTCTTAATGATCACGGTTGCTGTAAAGTAATAGAAACTTCGGGAGTATGTAGTTTATGATCAAAAATAAACTGCTAAGTACATATATCGTAAAAAATATTAGTTTCATTTAAACAACAAGTTAGTTTTTACTGTATTTTTAAACATAGTTCATATGGCCACTACATAAGTGTTAATAGTTTTTTGAAGTGATACATCTTATGCAACTTCCAATAAGGTTGCGTTAAATATTTAACGCGCAGGAGGAATAGAAAGAGACACAGCGAGAGTAAATGAATGAGAGTAAGTGAATTGTAAGCAAAGTTTATAAAGTTTAATGATATCTAAGACTTTGAGTAATTCATTTAAATGAAACTAATATTGTCGTATTATTATTATTTTATTATTATAAACTAAATACTCCCGACGTTTCGGTTACTTTGCAACCGTGATCATTAAGACGAGATACCTAATAAAATACGTGTAGTAATATGAATAATATAAGTTTAATATAAATTTTATAAAGTTTATCTTAAAGAAATAATACGACTTCACTAAAGAATTATTTCTATCCCTTCTTATTTTCATTTTAACATTACCAAGTTTTACTTCTTCCCGGAATCCACGCAGTATTTTTTCAATCATAACTCCAATATTACAGTTGTTAAAATAGTATGAAAAACGTGAAACGCATCGTACGTAGTATGATAATGCAAACACGTTATAAGCATAATCATCATCCTATCAGAGCCTATGCTGAGCTTCTTCTCACATGGAGAAGGTCTGAGCATTAATCACCACGCTTGCTCAAGACGGGTTGGTGATTTCAAACTTATAATTTGATTAAGTCCATATTTCCTCACGATGTTTTCCTTCATCAGTCAGTAATGTCTAAATACTCTTAAGTACATGTGACTCGGAACAATCACATTGGTTGCCAGGTTTCGAACCCGCGTCCTCATGCATGAGAGGCGGACTTTTAACCACTAAAGCATAGTAATAAAAAAAAAATTATTTGCCGATTATTATTTCTAGAATTTAATATTATCAAAGCATTATCTATATATGCAATTGTGCTTATAATATGTAAGGTGACTTTGTTAATTGATTTATTTATATAAATATAGATTAAATTTTATATGTATTATGTATTTTTTATTATAGTAATATATATATTTGATCATACATTTTAAACTATAAGTTTTTTTGTTGAATGAATCACACTCATTGTAATTGTTAAATATAAAATTTTACTAATTCAGATATAGTTCTTCTTCTTCCTGACATTTTCCCAGCTTTAGCCAGAGTCTGCCTTACATGTTGTAAATAATTTTGGCTAATTGTTTTTACGACCGGCCGCCTGCCTGACATCAACTCTCTTTGGGAAAATTCTGATATTGTTATAGCCAGTTAATAATAATTAATTACATACATATATTTTATAATAACTAATAAACAATATATGTATATGCATTCATAAAAATATTGTATACTAGTTTTTGCCCGCGACTTCGTCCGCGTTAATTTCGTCATTAGTAATATATGTATGTATAGCTGACCGGACGAACTTTATTCCGTCATAAATAACCAGGTATTGGTATTTATTATTATTTTTTCATCTTTTAAACCTTCCCTGAACCTCCACGAATATTTCAAGACTAAAATAAGATAAATCCGTTCAGCCGTTCTCGAGTTTTAGTGAGACTAACGAACAGCAATTCATTTTTATCTAATACATATTATTTTTTACGTGAATTTAATTATTTCCATTCGTTCATTCGTTCTTACATACATGTTTTCCTTCAGTCAGCAAATAGAACGAGTGAACATCAGGTTCCAAGGAGATCAACTAACCTTCCAAGAGAGGAACAACTTCAGATTTCGTCCTGAAAAAAGTGGTGCAGCCCATTTCGATCAAATCTACGTGCCTAACCTGCCTCTCCTGGTAATATACTTTTCACCTTACTTCGTCTGTGTTCTCAATCATTAAATTATATAGTTACTAGCTGCGCCCCGCGGTATTACCCGCGGATTTCGGAGTAAAGTAGCCTATGTGTTATTCCTGGACGTCAGCTTCCTGTATTCAAAATTTTATCAAAATCGGTTCAGACGTTTGAGCGTGAAGATACAAACATACACACACAAACTATCGCAATTATAATATTATGTAGTAGGATAAATAAAATAACTTTTACTGTACTGAAATTGATTTAAAATTTTAAGTTAAAGAATATTCTAAGCATATGTTTGAATTCTTGATTTATATTAAAAGGTTACTGTAACTGAGGAAAGTCACTAAATTTTATTAGTTTAAAAAACAATTACACACATACTGACGAATTTAAATTTATTTTATATATATGTAGTTACACAAAACCGATATTTTTGGATATTTTAATGATTCAATATATTATGTATTACGTATATTTGACACAAATCTTTTAACTTTCAAAGATGATTACTCAAAATGACTAAAATCCAAACTAATATTATAAATGCGAAAGTAACTCTGTCTATCTGTTACGCTTTCACGCCTGAACCACTGAACTGATTTTAGTGAAATTTGGTACAGACATAGAGTTAACTTTGAGAAAGAACATAGGATAGTTTTTATTCCAGACTTTCGAAAGGTTCTCTTGGAAACGCGATATAACCGAACTCCACGCGGGCGAAGCTGCGGGCGGAAAGCTAGTACTATATATAAGGGAATTTTTCAAATTTTTCTAATTTCCAAGCATTAATGAAAGCTATTTTAGGTTGTAAACACGAAATGAGATAAAAAATTGTTATTTTTATCGAAGGATTGTTTGTGTACTGATAACGGAGATATAATCTTGTGACCTCAACAAGATAAAAATATTGTGACACCCAAATTCGCTAACATCAATACGGTCAATCACAAATTCAATATATTTACTTATTTAAATGATAAAAAACTTAATCTGATTGTTATGATGTAGTTGCTTTTATTGAAATTGCTATTAAAAACGGTTTGGTAAGAATAATTATTAAAAGTAAACTGTTCAAGGAAGCTTTAAGTTCCTCAAGATTGTGTCTTGTTTTTCATATATGTATATATAAAATCAATGTTATGTTGATCACCGTACACTATTTACTTTTAAATATCAACACACAAACACGCACTAATTATATAATGTGGTAACCAGAGGTTCCAGGACAACTACGAAACATACTTATATATATATTATAATAAGAACTACATATTAAAACTTATAACCTACACCTAAGACTACATGATTGACCCGATGTTCGGATAGCAATACCATTCCATAGCTTGTGTGTGAGGAATCTTCTGGTTCACACGCTTGGTGTTCGTTCCGCGGAGTCAGCGGCGTCAAGAGTTATATATTTTATACATACATATAACAATATCGACCCGGCGATGTTGATTTAATTTTTAACATGTTGCGCGTAAGTTACACAATCGCAAATACACAAAACATTAAATAAGTAAATCATATTACATCTTAAAAATCCTCAATTATTTGTCATTTAACGCCACTGGTATGAGTGTATCAGTTAAGCAAGTGATCATATGTCAAAGACACCTTCCATCATCATCTAAGAGCTGGTCCTCTCACACTGCTGGACTGATATTAAATACACGTACATAAGAACCAGCGTGAGGGAACTGGCTATCAAATGAAGAAAGACACATCAAAATCGGTGAATTTGTTTGAGAGTTAGGACAAAACAAACAGACATACATGTCAAACTTATAACTAGCCTATTTTATTTCGAGGCCTTAAAATACGAGATGAAACCTCTCATCATTCAATGTATTCACGGTGCGTGTGTTGGGTCCATCGTTGTAGTGAGAGGAGCTTCAACAGTGACTGTGACTTGTGAACCAGGTGTAGGTTTAAGGGACACTATCTAACGCGTTAAACGATCACCTCCACCGTATAAAACAGAAATAATTTTTCCCTACAAAACTTTAACTGTTTTTTGTTTAGTTAAATTTGCCAGTTAACATGACGTGTAAAACAACTCATCTTCTAACTATTATTATATTTGATCTTTATTCTCAGGGTGTTATAGCCAACGTCCTCCACTTACCAACCCTGGGTCAAATAACGGTGCAATCGACCCTGAATTTTGCTGACCACAATGAAGCCTTTTTAAAACTACCAGCTCAAAGGTAATTTGAAAAATACGACCTAAAAACTACAATACAAATCACAACATGACCGAATGTAATGTGGATATTGCCCTTTCCCTTTCCCCACTCTTTCTTTTTCCCTCCCTTTCCCACCTTTTCCTCCCCCTTTTCCCCAATCAAAGGCCGGAACACATACGCAAACCTAATTTGCAGAAGCCATGAGCGACGGTATTACCTCCATCAGGTAGGCTGTCTACTCGATTATCCCCTTTAGCATAAAAATAATATTAGAGTATATTTAAAACAATATTTCATATTCCTATATTCCTAAAGGACCTCACTCCTGGAATAAATTCTTCACGAATTCATAAATATAGACAATTACTCTGTTTACCCTAAGCATGCGTTTACTGCATACGTAGCGTTAACAGTTCCTCATACCTAAATCTTTATAGTATGAATGAACATTGTTTATTTTAGACATCACTGATTAATGCATTCCCAAAGAGGGTTGATGTCAGGCAGGCGGTAGACGTAAAAACAATTAGCCAAAACTATTCACAACATGCAAGACAAACCCTGGCTGAAGCTGGGAAATTGCCAGGTAGAAGAAGCTTAACGTTGTTTTTAACTGAGAAACTTGAAACGCTTCGTATGTAGTCTGATGCAAACTCGTTCTAAGGATAAATACATAAAACAACATTACTTTAGTTTAAAGATTTGATGAAAAATTCAATATCTTCAACAAAAATAATTAATGATTATCTTTAAGATCGTAATGAATTCTTGACAAACTTTCCTTGAAGTTATTTTAACGTCACCCAACTTGTTGAAAAAGCCATTTTCTTTCCTAATTCTTTCCTTCTATACAATACTATAACTGTATAACATTATGCTTTAATCCAGGAATTGTTTTCATGTAAACTATAATTTAGATAGCTATCTTTTTGAAGTAGTTTAATTTGTTTTTTATGCCCAGGTTCTTGTGGGGTTATGACGATAGAATTATGGACCTGGCCAGACCTTTTCTGAGCATCGGAGCACAATTTCGTTACGATAAATTCGGACTTCTTGTATCTGTGAGTATTTTATTTTATATTCAAACCTAATAACTAATATTCTATGCTTTGTCGACGAGTATATAATAATTAAAGAACTTTATAACAATATTTAGACATAGAAATTTGCAATACGATTTCTGGAAATAACTGTGAAAATAATAAAACTGTAAGCTTACCACAAGTTTGTATCGCCATACTTTTAATTCGATTTTTTCTCATTCAATAATCCCTACTAATATTATAAATGCGAAAGTAACTCTGTCTGTCTGTCTGTTACGCTTTCATGCCTAAACCACTGAACTGATTTTAATGAAATTTGGTACAGAGATAGAGTTGACCTTGAGAAAGAACATAGGATAGTTTTTATCCCAGACTTTTCAAACGTTCTCTTAGAAACGCGATATAACCGAACTCCACGCGGGCGAAGCTGCGGGCGGAAAGCTAGAATACGATAATAATATGTGAGATTTATAAATAAAAAACTTTATATTCTACGTATGTAATTTAACTATTTAACAATGAAAACTTGTAGTAATCATACAGTCCGTGTTTGTGGTGAAAATGTATAACTAAAGATTCCTTTATCAATATAATATTTAACAAATGTTGCCAATGTAATTATTATATAACTACAATCATTACTCTTCACATTTTATTTTAAATTAGGTACATCAAAATCTTTCACGATGTTTTTAAACGATCTCTATATATAATGTATTTTTGGTATTTTTAGAAAAACGGCACCGTTTCTGATCGAATAACCATAAACACTGGAGAGAAGGACAAAGACAAGATGAATATTATAGAGAAGTTCAATGGTGACGTCACGCTGTCTTATTGGGGGAGTTCCGAGTGTAATAGGTAAAAACACACACACACACACACACACACACACATACACACACACACACATACACACACACACATACACACACACACACACACACACACACACACACACACACACACACACACACTACTATGTATATCTTTATATATATAATTCTTCTGTGAGTGTGTATGTCACTGAACTTCTCTCAAACGACTGGACCGATTTTTATGAATTTTTTTTTTGTGTGTTCAACGGGATCTGGGAATGGTTTAGATTCACAATTTTCCCCTGTACAATGTTTTTAAAATATATTAGAAGTTGTTGATACAAACGTTTTTTTTGACATTAGATTTGACAACTAACTAATATGTCAATCATTCTGTCGTACTTCAGAACACGGATATTTATGGCTTTAGTAGGTAAACTCCAAAAATATAAATAAAAAAAAGTAACAGATATTTCTTGATTATAAGGCGATACGAAGTTCGCCGGGTCTTCTAGTATATATATAAATCAGTACACAATTCTGAAGATTTACAAAAATGCTAATATTTTTCATCAACCCTGATCACGGTAGTAATAAGTATTACCGAAACGTCGGTAGTATGTAGTTTTTTACAAAAATAAAGTCGCATATTATTTCCATTTAAATGACTACTCTCGAAAATCTTAGTTCACATTATAAAAAAATACATCCAAAGAAAAAAATCCTTATAACTTTTAAATTCATTAAACTCTTTTATATCAAATAAATCTTACAAATTATATATTTTTATTAACATTTAAATCACAAACAAAAAACTGTATTAATATATGTCAGACGCTGCTCTTACAAAACATTATCTACAGTTGATAAACTTTGACCCCAGATAGTGTATCGTCCCATTCATACTGGCTGCATAATTTGATGCATTCAATACACACATTTGTAATTAAAATTTATTAGGAAACATTATTTTGAACGCACCAATAAAAAGACTCATAGGAATTCATTGTATCGGCTAAAATAATCATATTTGATTAAAATTCTTGTACCTGGCAATTTCAAAGCTTTAGCCAAGGTTTGCCTTACATGTTGTGAATAGTTTGCGCTGTTTTTACGACCGACTGCCTGCCTGACATCAACCCTCTATGGGAATAAACCATTCTCTATGGAAAATCCACATTTTGGGATGAGTGGACCAACTTAACTCGAGAAATACCATCTCAAAAACTAGAAATTCTTATAGTTACAACCATCTTCCCTCATGAGCATAGCAAATCTTCCTCTTCTTGGCAATTTCCCAGCTTCAGCCAGGGTCTGCCTTAGTTTTAAAATAGTTTTTGGCTAATTGTTTTTACGACCGGCCGCCTGCCTGACATCAACCCTCTTTAGGAATGCATTAATCAGTGATGTCTAAATACTCTTAGAAAGTACATATCACTCGGAAAAATCACATTCGTACTTGCCAGGATCGAACCCGCGCCCTCATGCATGAGAGGAGAGCCTGTTAACCACTAGGCCACCACTGACTAATAATAATTGGCATAATTTGCCTGTACTATGTTTCCTTCGAATAATTTGTGTTTCTTAAAGACAAGCATGCATAGACTATTACTGAGATAATTCGTTTACTACTTACGACCTTATTTCCACCTTCAAATAGGAACAATTACAGTCAAGTACTATCCAGTCAAAATAAAAAGATAATACATATAATCTGCATTGTATTTTACATTGTAGCTAGAGCTTACCACCGCTAATCATGAGGATGGAAATTTTAACATCACTATTGATTTTTGACGGTCAATCATCAAGCTCTTCACGAAAATCTACCACGCGTATCCAAACTATAGAATAGTCTATGATATTTTTGGGATATACAACTAGATAATCTTTAAGATAAGATCCTATTCCTACATCAAAGTTCATACATTTGACTTCCACTATCATTAGAAAAATAAAACCAATTAACAATGTTATAATCTCAATTTGCTCATCATTGATCATACATTAGCTGCTGGATTGGTTAAATTGTAGATATATAACCGTAATCAATAATGTACATTAAAAATAGGAGCAGAAATATTTTCGGGTTATATGAAAGTCGTATGTGATTGTATATTATGTACCTATGTACATGTGAAATATGTGTACAAATTTTATTTATTATTATAAATCTATTATGATAAAATAAAAAACTTAATAATTTGCATTGATTGACAAAACGGAAAGTTTGGACGAGTTAAAAAACGTAGTTTAAAAACTCAACGCTTGATACATGTCAAAGTTCAGTCTTAAGATATAATGACACAGAATTAATGGTTTCCGATTAAAGAGGAATTTGTTATACAGAGACATTAAAATAAAGATAAAATTATCATCACTTGTATAAATAAACGAGGAAATAAAAATTTATACTTAGAAAAACCACAGATGTTTAAAATTGATGATAATTTAGATTAATTCTCAATCGTGATTATTTATCTTTTTAGAAAGATAAATATGACCTAAAGTAAGTACAATCGAGAATAGATTTAGGACACAAAATGGTAGATTATTCAGGATTTTGTACCAAAATTATTGTTTATAGAAAACCTATATATTTAGGTGGTAGAGCCTAGCTGTGATTACTACAGCTCGAACATGGTCTGTCTCGACCGTAAGTACCACCCTCTCACAGAAGATCGGCGTGAAGTAGTCTTTAATGGCTGCGTTTCCGATGAGTGAGAGAGACGGTTGCTTTTTCCCTATTCCAACCCTTTCCTACTATTTCCTTATTCCCACCTTTCCCTATTCCTTAAAAAACTAAGGTTTGCAACGCATCCGCAACAAAGATGTTGCAGATGTCCATAGGCGACGGTAACTGCTTTCCATCAAGTAGGCCGTCAGATCATTTGTGGTTAAAGATACTTTATTTTCTCAAAAAGAAATTACATTTCACTTATTTGAGAAACTTATGACTATAAACATATATGAAATTAAAACATCATTTGCCACTTTTACACATCATTTGCCACTTTTACACATAAAAAAACCTAGGTATTACCAATAATTCTAAATGCATATAATAATATCATCAATATATCAAATATTCTCAGCTTCAAATGATGAAAACCTTTTCCTTAATATAATTGTTTAATTGCAGTATAACTTCATCTGATGGCACAATATTCCCTCCATCATTATTGGATAAGAAGACAACTTTGTACGTGTTCAACTCAAACATGTGTAGAAGATTACCATTTGACTACCTCAAAGACGTTGAAGTAAGTATAATGCCAAAATTAGCTATTTTCACAGGGTCATATTTCAGGATCTACTGAAGCTTTATCTATGAAATTTGGCATTCTGCTTTAGTACTAGTATATCATTACGTAGGTACAATTTTATCTCTGTACTTGCAATAGGCACTGAGCTACAGGGGGGTCAAAAGTGGGTCGAAATAGTGATAAAAAAGTAAAATATGTTTAGTAGTATGCTAAGTTGTTTATAAAGTTAAGTTCTTTTAATAAGTCATTGGTTGTATATATTTTTTAATACTACATTATAAAAAAATAAAAACATCAAAATTCATCCGAAAATAAAATAAAAAAAATTAAGGGTGAATAACCCTTATCACTAAGGGGTATGAAAAATAAATGTTGGCCAATTCTCAAACCTACTCAATATGCTCACAAAGTTTCATCATAATCGATCCAGACGTTTCGGAGGAGTTCACTGTCTAACACCGGAACACGAGAATTATATAAGATATATATTAATTTATGGCTTCATTCACATTTGAATCCTGGATTTTACCAATGTCAACGCTTTCATTAAAATTTGACTACTGTGTGGAAACACAAAGTTTGTCGAATGGAATAAAGTCGTTTATTTCTTTATTATTATTATTTTAAAGAAGGATAGTTATATATTTACCAGCACCTAGAGTCTTCTATATATATCTAGTTTAATTCTTGTTGTTATAAATATAAGTTGTATCCATGCAAAACATTTGAATATTATAAATAGGATACAAGCGTTAGACTGGGGATTTTATTACGAACTGTGGAGCATTACGCATCTAAGTAAAATTACTGCCTAAATTATTTCTAACAATATATTAACTGAAGATATCTTAATATTTTTTACTTATAATAGGTATATACATATATAGACTATATAGTCAGTGGTGGCCTAGTGGTTAATAGGCCCGCCTCTCATGCACGAGAGCGCGGGTTCGATCCTGGCCCGGGCAAGTACCAATGTGATTTTTCCGAATCGTATGTACTTTCTTAAAGTATTTAGACATAACTGATTAATGTTGATTCCCAAAGAGGGTTGATGTCAGGCAGGCGACCGGTCGTAAAAACAATTAGCCAAAACTATTCACAACATGTAAGCAGAGCCTGGCTACAGCTGGGAAATGGCCAGGTAGAAGAATATATATAGACTATACTATTGTCCCGTCTAAATGATAATTTATTCTAGATGGAGCAAGGCATTCGTCTGATGAGGTATGGCCTGCCATCAAATGTATTTGACGACCCACAAAGCAACCCTGACAACCAATGCTACTGTGATGTAGACAGCGGGACTTGCCCACCGAGGGGAATTATTAACATCACTGCATGTTCTATGGGTATGATATATACAGACAAACATATATATATGTTCTGTACAGGTTTTTATATGTGGAAGTCAAGTATTTCCCTTGCTTTAATACTAAAAGTGATGATATGAATATAGAACTGATAAATTTTAATATATTATTGTATAAAACAGTTGTTCTTAAAAATAGTTGTAAGTTCCTATTTAAAAACTTAAATTTGTTCTCCTGAAAGCTATAATTCAAATATATACTAATATAACATAATTTCATTTTATTTTCTCTTAACTACACAAAACAATGACGTAATTCAATTTCCTCAATAAAAGTGCCACAAAGAAGTCTATAGCTATATATCTCTACCAGGTGCTCCACTTGTGGCTTCATTTCCTCATTTCTACCGCGGGGACCCCAAACTTCGTGAGGACATCCAAGGACTGACTCCCGATGGCAATCTACATGACTCCTTCATAGACATACATCCAACCCTTGGCATCGCGTTGAATGGCAGATCAAGGTACATACTCATAAGTTCTTTAAAAAATTTACTATTTTCAGATTACAATGCGTTTTTTTAATTATGGTAACTACATACTCCCGACGTTTGGATAGATAGATATAAATGACATTCTCATCTCGTCTTAATGATCACGGTTTAAAGTAACAGAAACGTCGGGAGTATGCAGTTAAAATAATAAAATAACGCGAGAATTCATCAGAAAACATAAGCATGAACTAATGTTTCGAAAAATCGCAGTCAGATAAAATAACATTTTTTCTATTTACATTTTTGAACTACACTATTAAATGGCTATCCTAATTCTTACGCCAATCAGATTCTATTACATTTTTATTTTTATTTATAAGAGAATTCATATTTTAGATTCAAAATTTCGTGGTTGACATTTAAAAATTGCCATATAAAAATTTAATTCATAAATGATGAATTTTTGCACTGGCAACATTTTCATAATTTTTATTTTTATTGTTTAATAATTTTAGTCTACAACTGAACATCCAAGTACGAAAATCCGGTGTGTTTGGCGCTCTCAGCTTTCTGCCCGAAGGAATTATACTACCAGTTGCGTGGATAGAAATGGTAATATTTTGAACTATCTGTCTTACAAAACATCGTATAATATAGATTTACTTAGTAAAAACTAATAATAAAATATATACTAATGTATAAAGATTTGTTTATGAAGTTTATGTATAATGTCTTGATTACGGACGCTTCATAATTTTTGTCAGCTTTTCATCAATCAATTTGAAATTCACTTAATATGTATACAGAAATAATTTTCAGATAAATTTTGATATATACGACATACTAATAGCTTTGATTTTGATAACGAAAATAAAAGAAAATAACATACAAACGAATTTGCGTGTATCAAGAATACAACCATAGACAATATTTATGTTTCAGGCTCTCGAAGAACTACCAGAGAGTCTCCAATCATTGGTCTACCACGGAACCTTTTCAACAGCGGCCGTACAGCTCGGCCTAGCTATGTTCTGTTCCATAACTCTGCTCATTTCCTCCATATGCATGCTCATCATGATCATTACGAGACGAAGGAAACCCTGCGCGACCCTCAAAATAATACCAGCCGAAATTGAAATGAAAACTTAAAATTACAATGACATATATGTCAAGTGACATTGATTACTTATGCTCTGTTTTCTGAGCGATTTATTAAATGTATAAACAATATAATAATAACTGCATTTTATTTCTATATATTATTTTGACTTACTCTACTTATATATACATAATTTTAATTAAAATTTTGCATATTTATATATGTATGTTAATACGGCAATTGTCTTTTTTTATCAATTTAATCAACTTAAAGGTGGCACTTTGTTTTTATTTGTTGTGTCTGCCAAATAAGACCATTTGTGGAGGATATATTCGTTTTCATTTGAAATATTTGCACAAATAACACACATACACAAATAAGCGAAAACGCGTAAAGACGTATTGTGATGCCAAGTGTGGATGTCGTGTTTGCGTTATTTGGACTATATACAAATATTTGGACAAATGCGACGAACACGCAACGCCAAGTGAAGTGCTATCTTAACGGTTGACAATATTATGCATTATAGAAGTATTATGTATTTGCTTAACAAATATTTTATTGAAATGTTTATAATAAAAATAATAACAGTTATATAACATATATAAAAAATATCAAATATTTTCTCTCTATATTAGAAATGAGGATTTATATCTTTTGTAAATATTTTCACTTTTATTTCATATTTTTTTTTAAATGGTATCCCGACAAGTTGGTTGATATTTTGTAAATAATAAATAATTTAATTTTTGTGTCAGTTTATAAAAGCTTATTTTAACTAAACTTTTTTAATACATTTAATGTTAAAATTTTCACTGTTATTAAAAACTTAAACTGTCAAAGTTGTAATACCTACTTAACTAAAATGCACTTATGTTTTTTTGAGTGACATTTTAAGTGGAATGTATAAAAATAACAAATTATTAACACAATAATCTTGTTTTTCTTTGAACTAAGTGATGATTATTATTTTAAAATAAATATATTTTTTTTATTTTTCTTAATTTTACTTTATTATTATTTACTTGAATATTTACTTTGTTACCCTTTATATTTAATAATATCTCTAATTAATTTTTTTTATATATAAAAGTCGTTACATGATAGAGAATATTACCATTTCTATTTTACAAATAATGCTTTGAAAAAAATATCATTACTAGACCTAATATTTGCACAGATAAACAATAATTATTTTATAAATTAATCACAAGAAGTTAAAATTAATAAGTACTTTATTTCAAGAAGTAATGATTCAAATATTTTCATTTAATACGTACATATTTTTATCATTTTTAATAAATCTGTAGTACGGAGATCCTTCCAAAGTTTTACATAAAAATACTAATATGGATGCTTAAAAATCAAGTGTATTAGTCAAAATCTTAAACTGAATGGACCTGTATCAAGATGATAATAGAATAAAACTTATTGATTAATAAATATTACAAAGAATGGTTGGTCAAAAAATATACTGGACATAATAGTTTTTAAATAATAAAAAAAAAATTGTTGTTTGTAAAGTAGGTTTACGATCGAGATGTTTACGTGATAACGTCTTATTGGTGATATAAGTTTTTGGGAAGTAAGGAATTAATGAAGATAACAATTTTTTTAATAAAAAAAATTTCAAAAAAATCAATACACATTCAACGAAAACTTAACCGCACGAGAAAATCTCCATTCGTTTGTATGCCGCTAGAGTGAGAGAGACGGAAGATCGGTCCACTCACTCAAACGCTATGCCTGCCTCCGCTCGTGAGGATTCCGCGTGACAAGTTTCACGGAATGACTGGCAGCGCTCGAGATGAGACGGGAGATCGGTCCGTCTCTCTCTCATTATACCTGCGATCGCGCTCGTGAGGTTTTGGTGTGACACAAGTTTCTGAACATGTCACCCGACTAAAACGATTTTAAAGACGTTATCACGTCAAAATATATTGAGCATTAAATATTGCAACATCAAGATAACTTAAATTTGAATTTCAAGCAAAAAAATTAAGTATGTACATACATAACGAGAATATAAATTAAATAAACATATACATATATACTAAAAGTACTATGTCTGTTTCATTGTTCTTCTACCTGGCAATTTGCCAGCTATAGCCAGGGTCTGTCTTAAAAAAAAGTCTGTAATAGAAAAGTTATTGTCACTTAAAATATAATATAGTAACGTATTTAATGACAATATCAAATAATGTTATTTGCTTTTATTAAAAAAAGGTAATAATACATTTTTAATCTAGCATTTTTTTTGACAACCAATTTAATTAAAATTTTCTAATACACTAAATTTACTATAAAATAAGTTTTATCTTATCAGCTTGTTAAAGATCGATAAAGGTTAATAAGATCTAAGATTATAAAAGCTTCCTCTGAATAGAAAAATCTGCCAAAGAATTTGTAAAAACACTTATATTAAATATAACTGATAAATGATGATTACTCATTAAAAGAGACATACATTTTTTATGTACATCATATGTATTTAATATTTATATTATATTAAAGTTACGAAATTTCTTTTCATTGCACGCTTAAAGCGCCTTAACATTTTATCATTCCTGAGTTGTAAGTGTACCAAACTTACAACTCAGGAATTTATTATATATGATATTTTGACACCATATTTTTGAGATCATTAACATATTAAAAAATAATTTTTATATACGTTAAAAACATTTTTTTTTTATTAAAATATATTTTTATTAGGTTTCCTGTATTATAAATTATTTTTTATCTGTACCGTTCCCCACCATAAACAAGCTGACATATTGACAGTTGCTTGCTCCGACCATAAACAAAAACTATCCTTTCTCATATTTGAGTCTGAACATGGCGGTCGGTAAAAATAAAGGCCTATCGAAAGGCGGTAAAAAGGGAGTTAAAAAGAAGATGTAAGTCCGGAATAAGCCCATCATCTTTTACTGTAATTATCCATAACGCTGTTAGAAAACAGAAATTTGTTAATAAATATGTGATGTTTGAGATAACAGTGGATGAAGTATCGTGTCTCGTGTCTAAAGTTAACTCTTATTTCTACGCTTAATCAATTATAACAGCTTTGAAATCAACTTTTAACATAACTTTAATATGTTTAACTGTTAATTATCGTGTTATCCGTCTTTGGTTTTATGTTAATGTGATTATTCATGTGAGTATAAGGTTATAATATTAATTTTGTTTTTAGCGTTGATCCTTTCACACGTAAAGACTGGTATGATGTCAAGGCGCCGTCTATGTTCACCAAGAGGTTGGTGGGAACCACGCTCGTCAATCGCACCCAGGTTTGTGCAACCACCTATAGGTTAAAACCGCGTGTAATTTCGACCGGTGTCAAGTTATTTTAAAAGAATACTTTATTTTTGTACGTTAAGCTTATCGTAATAACTTGCAAACGTAATAAAATCTATTATTAAGTTGTATATAATATGTTCATATCGAATTTAACTTCTAGTTTTTTATATTATTATGTATGAAAGTTAGATAAAATGTACTTAATGATGATCAACCTAGCTCGCATTGACACAGATCTGATGAAACTTCTGTTCCCTTTTGATTTACCTCTGAGTTTACGTTGAATATCACGTAAACACGTCGTAACCACGCGGTTGTTTACACGTAACTTTGTTTTAGGGAACGAAAATCGCTTCCGAGGGTCTGAAGGGCCGCGTCTTCGAGGTTTCACTCGCTGATCTACAGGCTGATACAGACGCGGAAAGGTTTGCATACTTTATATATTAAAAATATGAATATTTCAACTAAATTTCGTTAATATATGCCCCAGCGTTAAATAGGGGCTAAATGGTCACAGTGTGATGATGATCTGTTTGATGAGACTATGAGCATATCCTTTTATATATATACCTTTATATATCATTTGATACACATGTATATACTTTGGAGGCAGCCCTAGTAGTTTCTTTTCAAATTATATAGAGAGAGGAGCTTGTACAGTGGAGGTGAGCGTTTAACGCGTTAGATAGGGTCCCTTAAACCTACACCTGGGTCACAAGTCACAGTCACTGTTGAAGCTCCTCTCACTACAACGATGGACCCGACACACGCACCGTGAATACATTGAATGATGAGAGGTTTCGTCTCTCTATATATATTAAACCTACACCTGGTTCACAAGTCCCAGTCACTGTTGAAGCTCCTCTCACTACAACGATGGACCAGACACACGCACCGTGAATACATTGAATGATGAGAGGTTTCGTCTCTCTATATATATTAAACCTACACCTGGGTCACAAGTCCCAGTCACTGTTGAAGCTCCTCTCACTACAACGATGGACCAGACACACGCACCGTGAATACATTTAATGATGAGAGGTTTCGTCTCTCTATATATATTAAACCTACACCTGGGTCACAAGTCCCAGTCACTGTTGAAGCTCCTCTCACTACAACGATGGACCCGACACACGCACCGTGTATACATTGAATGATGAGAGGTTTCGTCTCTCTATATATATTAAACCTACACCTGGGTCACAAGTCCCAGTCACTGTTGAAGCTCCTCTCACTACAACGATGGACCCGACACACGCATATGAATACATTGAATGATGAGAGGTTTCGTCTCTCTATATATATTAAACCTACACCTGGGTCACAAGTCACAGTCACTGTTGAAGCTCCTCTCACTACAACGATGGACCCGACACACGCACCGTGTATACATTGAATGATGAGAGGTTTCGTCTCTCTATATATATTAAACCTACACCTGGGTCACAAGTCCCAGTCACTGTTGAAGCTCCTCTCACTACAACGATGGACCCGACACACGCATATGAATACATTGAATGATGAGAGGTTTCGTCTCTCTATATATATTAAACCTACACCTGGGTCACAAGTCACAGTCACTGTTGAAGCTCCTCTCACTACAACGATGGACCCGACACACGCACCGTGTATACATTGAATGATGAGAGGTTTCGTCTCTCTATATATATTAAACCTACACCTGGGTCACAAGTCACAGTCACTGTTGAAGCTCCTCTCACTACAACGATGGACCCGACACACGCACCGTGTATACATTGAATGATGAGAGGTTTCGTCTCTCTATATATATTAAACCTACACCTGGGTCACAAGTCCCAGTCACTGTTGAAGCTCCTCTCACTACAACGATGGACCCGACACACGCATATGAATACATTGAATGATGAGGTCTCATAACTATTGTTTTAATTCCCCAGGTCTTTCCGCAAGTTCCGTTTGATTGCTGAAGATGTTCAGGGTCGTTATGTTCTTTGTAACTTCCACGGCATGGATCTTACAACTGATAAGTTGAGGTAAGTCTTAAACATACATACATATATAGAAATTACATATCTACCCTTACTAAGGAACATAAAATTCACAAAAATCTTCATATAAAGATAGCTAGTTACAATTGTTATCTTAGACTAAAGATTTCCGAAGTTATTATGTCCATTTTGATCATAAATTATCAATATCACTCTTATTTTTATATCTGCTGAAAAACCACAATAACTATCTTAGCTAAATTATATTACAAATCACCCAGACCTATACAAAACCCCAATATTTTTTCCAAATCTCTCACCTTTAGCATTTAGATTCTCAAACGAGCATTATTACCCATTGGGAAAGTTTCCCTTATAATATTGACTATTATTAATACTCTAAAATAGTAATACATATATTATACTAGCTTTCCGCCCGCAGCTTCGCCCGCGTGGAGTTCGGTTATATCGCGTTTCCAAGAGAACCTTTCAAAAGTCTGGGATAAAAACTATCCTATGTTCTTTCTCAAGGTCAACTCTATCTCTGTACCAAATTTCATTAAAATCAGTTCAGTAGTTTAGGCGTGAAAGCGTAACAGACAGACAGAGTTACTTTCGCATTTATAATATTAGTAGGGATTCTGCAGTCCAGCTATATGAAGATGTCCATTGTTTTCATATCGTTTCAAACTGCAGATAAAAACGCTACCATATAATAAAATGCCGTTACATATATTGTAATGGCTCTTTATATCGTTGCTACATTTATTATATTCTTCAATACTTGTCCATTAACTTGTAGTATTTATTAAAACTATTAAATTCGTAATATGTTTTTTGCTAAGTATTGATAAACTATTAATAAAATAATAAAAGATAGTATGTAAGAATAACTTCTTCAATTCTCATAGTCCCAAAATAATATAAGTACATAATATGTATATATTCTATGTCAGTGGTGGCCTCATGGTTAGAGGGCCCGCCTGTCGTTGCTGAGGGCGCGGGTTCGATCCTGGCAAGTACTAATGTGATTTTTCCGAGTCATGTACTTTCTAAGAGTACTATTATGAAGAAGATATGTATATATACTAGCTATATAGAAATTCTCAATAATATTACTTCTATCCAAGCCTTTGTTCTTTTCACATCATTCTGGGTTATCCGACCACCATATCATAGATATTCTGGACTTAAGAAACTTCCAAATAATATGATATCAAGTATAATGTAGGTAGATTATTATATTAGTTGCTATACAATACATACATGACCAATTTAATATTTCTTTATTGAATACTACAATAGTTACAAATTACATTAATTATCAAAAATCTTCCTGGTAATTTCTCAACTTTAGCCAGGATCTGCCTTACATGTGATTAGTTTAGGCTAATTGTTTTAGGCCGGCCGCCTGCCTGACATCAACCCTCTTAATCAAAATTAATTATACAAAATAATAACCAAATATATAATTACAGATGGATGGTCAAGAAATGGCAGACATTAGTCGAGGCCAATATCGATGTTAAGACTACCGATGGATATCTCTTGAGAGTGTTCTGCATCGGCTTCACCAACAAGGATTCCCTCAGTCAGAGGAAGACATGCTACGCTCAGCATACCCAGGTACAGAAATAACTAGCCCTAATTAATTTTATGACATACTAGCTTTCCGCCCGCAGCTTCGCCCGCGTTTAGTTCGGTTATATCGCGTTTCCAAGAGAACCTTTCAAAAGTCTGGGATAAAAACTATCCTATGTTCTTTCTCAAGGTCAACTCTGTCTAACAAATTTCATTAAAATTAGTTCACTGGTTTAGGTGTGAAAGTGTAACAGACAAACAGACAGAGTTACTTTCTCCTTAAAGTGTTAAAAGGTGTATTACTTATGCCCTTTTACTGCATTAAAAAGTCTTTCCACAAACAAATACACATTTTTTTAAATAGCTGCTATAGAATACAGTATTATGAAGTGTATAAAACGAAAATATTAAAATGACTAAACTGCTACATTGGTCCTTATACATAAAACTCATCAATATGTAGGTGTTGCACACAGAATTTTTTTATAAACCTACAACAATTCAATAGTTTCTGTTTGCAGTCCAGCTATATAAAGATGTACAATTATCTTTATATCGTTACAAACTGCATATATTGAACGCTGCCACACAATAGAGCGCCTAATATTATATATGTTGGGTCTTTTGTGTCGTTGCAACATTTAACAATTATTATAAATCAATATCAATATAAGTTGTTGTATCTCCAAAACTAAATTTACAATAGAGTGTCAAAGATTTAAGTTACAAAATTTGAAAATTACAACAAAAAATAAAATAGCATTTTCCAGTGGACAAAATTGTCAAATGTCTTGAACAAAGTTAATATATCTTGCTATCAAACACAGTATGAACTTATTATTATTTCCAGGTCCGAGCCATTAGGAAGAAGATGTGCGAGATCATAACTCGTGATGTGGCCGGCTCGGAGCTGAAGGAGGTGGTGAACAAACTCATCCCCGACTCCATCGCTAAGGACATTGAGAAGGCCTGCCTCAGCATCTACCCGCTGAGAGATGTGTGCATCAGGAAGGTATGGACAATGAATTTTATATATATATATATAGTCATTACTAACTTTCCGCCCGCAGCTTCGCCCGCGTGGAGTTCGGTAATATCGCGTTTCCAAGAGAACCTTTCAAAAGTCTGGGATAAAAACTATCCAATATTCTTTCCCAAGGTCGACTCTATCTCTGTACCAAATTTCATTAAAATCAGTTCAGTGGTTCAGACGTGAAAGCGTAACAGACAGACAGACAGTTACTTTCGCATTTATAATATTAGTAGGGATATATATTATAATGATGACACACCTAGCTCGCAATGATACAAACCTGATGAGAACTTTGTTCCCTTTTGATTTATATCTGATATCAACCAAATTACCATTTAATTACATACAACCACAACATCTCTACAGCCTCATATATATTACAGGTGAAAGTCCTCAAACGTCCGAGGTTTGAGATTGCCAAGCTGATGGAGTTGCACGGAGAAGGTGGTGGCAAACGAGGAGAAGGTGGTGACAAGTCTGACCGACCTGAAGGATACGAACCACCAGTACAGGAGAGCGTATAATAATATACATTATGATGTACACACTTGTTTTATTTACTCAAATAACAAAAACCTGGGTAATTTTACACTTAACCCCTTATAAATTTGAGGCGATATTTTCACCAACATGATTTTATTTTTAAACTGACTTTTCGTCCACCGGTCGTGTTTTTTTAGTCAGACAGTTAGACAATGAAAAGTTTGAAAAATATATATTTATGTATACTTATATTTACTTCTATTATATACCCTTAATCAACATCAATTTTGTTTTTCCACTGTCCACTCCTTATGACCGCTAAAGGTTTAAACTATGATAAGTAATTTTATCCTATCAGAGCCCACTGCTGAGCCTCTTCTCACATGGAGAAGGTTTGAGCATTAATCACCACGCTCGCTCAAGATGGGTTGGTGATTTCAAATTCATAATTTGATTAAGTCCATGTTTCCTCACGATGTTTTCCTACATCTGTCAGTGTTGTCTAAATACTCTTAAGTACATATGACTCGGAACAATCACATATCTGTATCACATATTTGTATGCTAATTGCTTTAAATTTTAAAATGATAAATTTGTATATGGTAATACAAAAAGTCTAGTGCAGAATAAAGAGTTATTACTTAAAATATTTTTTGAAGTTAAAATCTTTTTCAATAAAAATATATTTATTCAATTTATTTTTAGTTCTAGTCATTAATCAGAATATGTTTTGTTCAATTTGCATCGCCACTACAGTGTCGTACAAAAATCTGCATTAATTACATAATTTAAAAGTTAAAAAAATATTTTAAAAACGTTCTACGGTATATTATATAAGAGTCGAATTTATTACTATATAACTAACGATTAGTGTTCAACTATGAATAAGGACAATTTACTTCAAAATACATAAAGTAGATAAAAATGATTTTCTATGATCTTCATAACGCCTCGAACATACTGTACATTACATGTAATGCACCAGTCTATTCTTTTTAAATTGGGTATAATAGATTGGGCGTAGGAGCTACATCTATACTAATATTATAAAGCTGAAGAGTGTCTGTTTGAAAGCGCTAATCTCCGAAACTACTGGTTTGAATTGAATAATTCTTTTTGTGTTGGATAGTCCAGTTATCAAGGAAGGCTGTGGGCTATATAACATCACGCTACGACCAATAGGAGCAAAGATATAGTGATAAATGTGTAAAAAACGGGAGAAATTATTTCATCTTTGAAACCTTCCGTTGCGTGCGCCGTGAAAACGGTTCAAGATACACAAAAAATATGTATTAAAGAATAATAGCTCTTTTAATGATCTAAAAAACAGTCCGCGACAGTATACGTCTATCTTTTAAGATTAACTCACAAAAACCGTTTTTATGGTACCTAATTTGGTCGAAATAATTTGTTTAAGTTGTATCAACATAATAATATTAATCTTTATTCAAATTAACAAATAAATATGTTGTTGGTTAAGAGTACTTCATTGTGAATTAAAAAAAACATAGGTTTTATCCTGAAAACTCTACGGGAACTCGACCATTCCGAAAACCCCTTCAAGAACGGGAACAATGTGGGAAGAACCAAAAATCTGCCGGAAGTCACTACTCCACGCGGACGGAGTCGCAGCAAAAGCTAGTTGCTAAATATAATTTAATAATAATTAAAATTCCTAAACCAAATAAAAACACGATTAAAATACTCTAAACCATAAACGGAAAGCTATAAAAAGAAAAATTTACAATTTAATTATGCAATGGCTTCATTCGAAATGGAATTATGGAATATTTTTCTAATTTTATTTATTGGACGAATTATAATCTTGAGTACTGTCAAGATTTTTAGGAAATACTTAATTAATATATAAAATAAAAAGCCTATCAAACTTAATTCTAGATAATTAAGAATACCTAATTCAAAAAAATCTAGTTTTAGATGCGGCTTTATTCTTTAAACAAAAAAAATGGCGTATCTACAATATTTTTTAATATTTCTACAGTGAATGCACATGATGACGATACGTACATAATACACCAATAACTTGAACTAACAATTACTACAAGACAATTTACAACATGAAATATCTTTCAATATTTAAACGTACCACAATTTACTTCGTATTAAAGCTTACAATCAATAGTAAAGGCATCGTACCTGGTGATGGTAACTATCAGTTTAATGTATCTACAAATAAAAAACATAAAAAAAATCTGACTGGTAAGAATTGAAATGATATGCTTGGAAGTATTGCAAATTTGTATAAGTATTATGCAAACAGGAGTAAAAGACTGTTTCGTTATTAATAAGAATTTATATTTTATAAAATAATAATAAATTATTGTCATCGAGCATCATGATTAACCCACTTCTTTTCGAAATCGTGAAAATTTTAAAATTCTTTACTACATTTATGTATAAGTAACTAGATAGTTAACGGAAATATATAGTTCGGAATCCAATCGTATCATTTTATATGGTAAATATTTATACTTATTAAGTTTTCCTATATTTGATCTGTAAATATCAGATACCTAAATTTAATGTTAGTAAACAAATTATTATAAATTAAAAGTGATAAGAGCGTAGATTCAAGATTTTAACGTTACACTATTTTTATATATTGTAAAGTTTTATATATAAAAATTCCGAACGGCTGCCAAATGTCACTTTCTATTATTTTAAAGTTGTCACCTTGACGCACGGTCTTTTCAAGTTCAATTCGTTTTGGGCGTCACTATTCAATGAGCAGTACTAGATAGTCACAAGTTAGAACTAAATTAAACAGGTTGGTTGTGTGAGTTTGGTCGCATAAACCGGCAGGACGTATCGGTGTTTGGTTGCCGGCATTTTCTATTTTATTTAATATTTTTTTAATTACTCACTACAACAATAAAAGTGCTAAGTTTTCTAATAAGTGTTTGAAATGGGTGCGAAAGTGTCTAGAACTGACTTTGAGTGGGTCCACACGGAAGAACCTCATGCTACAAGACGAAAAATCATCTTAGGTAACATTACGTCACGTTTTAATATTTAAAACACGTATAAAACGTATATTTCATATTGTATTAGAACCTGCAACGAGCAATGTATTTTAGACAAAATTTTCAATAACGTCCTTCGTTCTTACTACTTAAACTATTGTGTCAACAAGCAATTAATATATTTCAATTGGATGAAAACCTGTTATTAACAAATCATTAGAGAATTAGATATTCTAAAACATACGATATATAAAATAAATTTCGTTTATTTGGAATATAAATTAGAGTATACGTGTCTAGCTTTACATTTAAATATATATATTCATATCAATAATTTTCTAGAATTATTTTTCATAGGTGACATCATTTATCGCATGTTACCACTAGTTGTGTTTCCCGGTTTCGTCCACTTTCAATATTTCAGTGTCTTTGCCAAAATTAATTGTACAGTTTTTCGTTTCTTTATTAATTATTCCGTGTTTAAACACGATTTAAATCTACCCGGCCATTTCTCCCGAGAATAATATGGAGAAATACAGTTTTAAATCGAGAGATATAAAAAAAATCGTAATTTGTAAAATTGCCATAGCTGTTCATTCATGGAAGACAAATATTTTATTACCAGAATAAAGATACAAACATTATATTTATATAATATTATTAATTATAAGTACATTTATATATATATATATATATATATATATATATATATATATATATATATATATATATATGTTTAATAAACAGTGAAAACACCTGCCGAGTTTAAAATTTCCGATTACATCATAGATAACTTATATTTTATAAGGATTAAGATTAGAACACAATAAGTGTTTCAGACAATGCCAAATTAAAATTCCATTAGATATTTACTAGACATACATTCATATATCTCTTATATATATATATATATATATATATATATATATATATATATATATATATATATATATATATATATATATATATATATATATATATATATATATATATATATATATATATATATATATGATATTGTGAAAATAGCATAGTTTTAAATATGTATATTATTTTAACATATGTAATTTTTTTCCATTCTAATCTTTTACGTGGCAATTCCTCAGATTTAGCCAGGGTCTGCCTGACATGTTGTGAATAGTTTTGGCTAATTGTTTTTACGATCCGCCTGCCTGACATCAACCTTCTAATGTATATTGATATATATTTACTTATATATAATACATATATTTTAGTTTTAACATGACACACTAAGAATAAGTAAATATATGCTTATTATTTGAATTCTTTAAAACACTCACCTCTCGCTTTGTGTAAGGTAAAATGTAGTTTCTGTACATACATATATATATACAGTGTAAACTCCATATAACGACACTCGATTTAACGACAAACTCTCTAAAGCGTCGAAATCATTTGACTTTGGTTGGTTTAGCTTGTCTACCATACAATGATACACTCTATATAGCGGCACAGCCACTCTCAATAGCGACAAAATTAAGTATTAAAAAGTACCCTTAAGTTGCTAAAATTAGTAAAAAATGCGCAGCTGTGTACGTTTTTTTGTCGCTTTGTTATCCTACCCCGCAATAAACTCCACTGTCGTAATCATGCATACCAAACTTTCTAAGAAATTCGTTCTTCGCCAATATGCCTCAATATCGCAAGATATGAATAAAATACGTAAAAAATACAACAACATTACTGGTGCAGCAAAACACGTCAAACAAAAACAACAGACTTTATAACATTCTTTTTTATGTACATAAGTACTAACAGTAGTCTGAAACAAACTTTGTCTTTTTCTAATTCTGATTTTTCTTCCCTCTATTTAACGGCAACTCTCTATAACGCACAAAAATGCACGGTCCCTTCAGTGTCGTTATATAGAGTTTACACTGTATTTTAAACATATACTTTTTAGTGGTGTTAATCATATTAGTTGTAAACAATTGAGTGATGATCTGTTGTCTTGTGTGGAATTTAAAATCAGAAATATTATATGTTGGTATTTATATATATATATACATATATCTCATTATCTTTTTTGCTTAATTATTTGTTAAATGACACAATTTTCTTGGTAATACTATATATTATTCTATTAGTTCATGTTTTAAACATCAATTCATAAAACAGTCCGCACTTCAATAACTTATCTTCATAGCTATCATCATATATGAGTCTAGTAATCTGCTTTTTCTTCCTGGCAATTTCCCAACTTTAGCCAGGGTCTGCCTTACATGTTGTGAATAGTTTTGGCTAATTGTTTTTATGACCGGCCGCATGCCTGACATCAACCCTCTTTGGGAATGCATTAATCTCACTGATATGTATAATTAATTATAATATTGCATATTTACTTGTTATTCATATTTTTACACCCGATTTTGAAAATGATATTGTGTTATGAGTTCAATTTATATGCGAGACTTAAAGAAAACAGTGAGGAAACCTGGGCATATAATATCAAATTATAAGTTTGAAATCACCAACCCGTCTTGAGCAAATGTGGTGATTAATGCTCAAACCTTCTCCATGTGAGAAGAAGCAGCTCAGAAGTGGGCTCTGATAGGATGATGATGATGATTTGTCTGTGGAATTATAGCTCTTAAACCGATCAACCAATTTTTTAAGTGTTTTATCCCCACCAATATTATAAATGCGAAAGTAACTCTGTCTGTCTATCTGTTACGCTTTCACGCCTAAACCACTGAATTGGTTTTAATGAAATTTGGTACAGATATAGGGTTGACCTTGAGAAAGAACATAGGATAGTTTTTATCACAGACTTTTGAAAGGTTCTCTTGAAAATGCGACACAACCGAACTCTACGCGGGCGAAGCTGTGGGCGGAAAGCTAGTATATTATGTATATATTACTTTGACAATCAGTTTCCTTGTAATGTTGTACTATTAAGAGAATAAGACTTTTCTACAATTATTTAAAGCATTTTAGGGTTTGTATACATGATTGTATCTCACTCTCGCTAACTTGACTATTAATGTGTTCAAGGCTTAAAATTACAATAGAGATTTATATATGAATTTCCAAATATGTTTAATCCATTTTTTGTTATATAAAAATAGGTAGTATATGATTATACAGTGAGTATATCTAGGCACTTATTTTTTTATTGAGTTTTTTGCAATAAAATGACGCGTTTGGTCATAAGTGTAGATGTTTATACATGCAAATGCACCGGTGTTTTGCTGTTATAAATCTTTTTTATTTTCAAAATTCATATTAAAAGACATAATAAAAATCTGATAGTTTTATATTTAATCATAAATATATATATTAATAGAAGAAAAAATATTTTTATGTTAAAAGGTAATGCAATTCTGATATTATATTTAATAATAGGATTTATTATATCTTCTTCTACCTATCAATTTCCCAGCTTAAGCCAGGGTCTGCCTTACATGTTGTGAATAGTTTTGGCTAATTGTTTTTACGACCGGCCGCCTGCCTGACATATATGACGGTTTTATTAAAAATCTATCTACTTCTAAGTTGGAGTTTTTCTTGACTAATAACTGTAAGTCTAAGTGTTTGTGAACTTCTACTAAGGGCATGTTATACATTATTTTGAGTAAAAAACTATAATAATCTCGTTTTAACTGTAAAATATTAAGTGTGAATTGAGTTGCTGTTAAAATCTTAATTATTTAACAGTTTAACGCACGTCTGTTAAATACTAACACGTTAATTGGTAGTTCATTAACGGATTTTAAACTGGTGATGGTAAAATCTAAGGAAAGTTATATGCTTAAAATTAATTTTAACTGACCATTTTTTTTATATACTTTGTATATATTACCTAAGTTTTCATTGTCAATACTTACGTAGCCTTGAAGGTTTTTTATAAATAAATACTTCATAATTATAATATATGTATTAAGTCAGCGGTGGCCTAGTGGTTAAAAGTCCCACTTCGCATGCATGAGGGCGCGGGTTCGATCCTGGCAAGTACTAATGTCATTTTTCCGAGTCATATGTACTTTCTGAGAGTATTTAGACATCACTGATTAATGTATTAACTAAACAGGGTTGATGTCAGGCAGGCGGATCGTAAAAACAATTAACCAAAACTATTCACAACATGTTAGGCAGACCCTGGCTAAAGCTGGGAAATTGCCAGGTAGAAGAATACTAGATGGTCCTACACTTAGTATTAATAAGAATTCCGCAGACGAAAGCCAGACGGACAAAAATATCTACATAGATATAACCGGACATCGCTTCTTGCATAACAATTATCACGAACATAGCCTTATCAATATACAATTGTTATTATCAAATTATATATAACACGTGCAGACAGTCTCGTTTTGATAATTGTTATATATTAATATGATAACGCCCGTTAATGCCAAACTGATTAATGATAAAGTGGTACCACCAATACAGCGGTATCTGGTGCTAATAGCGAGAGTCTTTAAAGATACCAGCATTTCGTTTTCAGCTTCATCAAATAACTCCTAATATACCTAGTCCTAAAATGATTCACTCCTAGAATAGACTCTACCACCTTTAGACCCAGTTTCACCAATCATTGTTAAATAAGTAACATCGTGTTAAGGCGTTTGAAGCTCTGTTAGATGTATCGAGCGTCCCACCACGCACAAATTTCCGTTTAAATGTCTTAACCAGCCACTAATATTAATTCCTGCTCTAGAGCTCCGTCTAATGGCTAACAGAATGTTAATACATTGTCGAAACTCAATTGTCAAATGACAGCCCTGATTTCTTGTAACCATAGTAATGTCATCTGTTTTGTCAGTTTTGATTACTTCTTTGTATTTAATAATAGTGTGCCTAGCTGTGGTTATTAAAGCTCGAACGTGGTTTGGCTCGACCGGGGAAGTACCACCCTCTCACAGAAGATCGGCGTGAAGTAGTCTTTAGTGGCTGCGTTTCGTCCGATGAGTGAGAGATCCTTTACCTTTTTCTCATCCTTTCCTGCCATTTCCTTATTCCCATTTCTCCCTTTTCCTCAACAATCAAGGTTGGTAACGCATCCGTAACATCTATGTTGTGGATGTCCATGGACGACGGTCACTACTGCCCATCAAGTAGGCCGTCTGCCCCTTTTGCTACCTTTGATATAAAAATAAGAACAGCTACCTCATGTGTTCATGAATTAAGACTTCCAATAAGGATGATCTTGACTTCATTTAGTTTAAAACATTTCTGATAACTTAACAATATATTAAACTAGCTTTCATCCGCAGCTTCGCTCGCGTGGAGCTCGGTTATATCGCGTTTCCAAGAGAACCTTTCAAAAGTCTGGGATAAAAACTATCCTGTCCTTTCTCAAGGTCAACTATATATCTGTACCAAATTTCATTAACCAATTCAGTGGTTTAGGCGTGAAAGCGTAACAGACAGACAGACAGAGTTACTTTCGCATTTATAATATTAATAAAATTTTGATATATCTAGTTTAAATTGAATACATTAATGTAAATTTTCCATTACTATCGATCTATTGCTCGTTGCTCGTTCGTCAATACTCAATTTCTATTAGCAATCTTCTTCTATATATATAAAAATGGATTGCTGTTCCTTAGTCTCGCTAAAACTCGAGAACATCTGAACGGATTTATCTTATCTTAGTCTTGAAATGTTCGTGGAGGTTCAGGGAAGGTATAAAAGCTGAAAAAAATTGATTCATTACTGGGAAAACCATAAAAACAGCCCTTTTCTATTTCCCATACAAACGTTTTTTTTTTTTACATTAGATTTGACAACTAACTAATATGTCAATCATTCTGTCGCACTTCAAAACACGGAGATTTATGGCTTACAGGTGAACTCCAAAAATATAAATAAAAAAACGTAATAGATATTTCTTGATTATAGGGCGATACGAAGTTCGCCAGGACTTCTAGTGTAATATATTTTTCCTTTCCAGAGAAATACCCAGAGATCAAGAAGCTATATGGTTACGACCCCATGTTCAAATGGGTTGTCACCGCTATGGTTTTCACTCAGTTCGCCATGCTGCCTGTCGTCCAACATTTAAGCTGGCCGTACGTCATAATCCTGGCGTATTGCTTTGGAGGGGTCATTAACCACTCGTTGATGTTGGGTAAGTCTCAAATACTAGCTTTTGCACTTGATTTCGTCTGTGTTACTTTCAGAATTAGGAATGTATAGCTGTTATATATACTAGTTTTTGTGCGCGACTTTATCTGCGTAATTCAAAATTAGGAATGTACAGTAGTGGATCGAACTCTATTCCTCATTAAAGACCGTAAATAAGATTTTGGATTTGATCAAGTTTTTTTTGGGATCGCATGAAAAGTATACAAGTTTTTTTCATAGTTCTAAGCTACCACTAATTTTCAGCCAAACCCGTACAGCTGTTTTTGAGTTATATATAGCGTAACTAACACGACTTTCTTTTACATATAACAATATATATATCTTTATATGTATGTATATGTGTGAATAACTCTATTAAGAGTTAATTCCATCACAGCTTATCGATAGTAAATAACTTCGAGGGCCTGATAACATTATTCCTCTTATCTTTTTAGCGGAAAACATTGTTTAAAGTATTCACGAGAAATGAACACATACATACACATACATAACGTTTCGCGTTTAAAGTACCTTAAGAGACAAGACGAATCCTCTCATCATTCAATGTATTCACGGTGCGTGTGTCGGGTCCATCGTTGTAGTGAGAGGAGCTTCAACAGTGACTGGGACTTGTGACCCAGGTGTAGGTTTAATATATATAGAGAGACGAAACCTCTCATCATTCAATGTATTCACGGTGCGTGTGTCGGGTCCATCGTTGTAGTGAGAGGAGCTTCAACAGTGACTGGGACTTGTGACCCAGGTGTAGGTTTAATATATATAGAGAGACGAAACGTCTCATCATTCAATGTATTCACGGTGCGTGTGTCGGGTCCATCGTTGTAGTGAGAGGAGCTTCAACAGTGACTGGGACTTGTGACCCAGGTGTAGGTTTAATATATATAGAGAGACGAAACCTCTCATCATTCAATGTATTCACGGTGCGTGTGTCGGGTCCATCGTTGTAGTGAGAGGAGCTTCAACAGTGACTGGGACTTGTGACCCAGGTGTAGGTTTAATATATATAGAGAGACGAAACCTCTCATCATTCCATGTATTCACGGTGCGTGTGTCGGGTCCATCGTTGTAGTGAGAGGAGCTTCAACAGTGACTGGGACTTGTGACCCAGGTGTAGGTTTAAGGGACCCCTATATAACGCGTTAAACACTCACCTCCACTGTCCAAGCTCCTCTCTCTACCTAACACAATCTAACGCACGTTAAAACTATGTGACAAGATTAATGAATGACAAACTGTTGACGTGAAGTATGTAGTGACGATGGAAACTTTTAGTAAGCATGCGATAATGCTCGTAACTATAATATTCATTGTCTGTCCGAAATACGGTCAGTATGGACGTAAATAATGTAAATGGAAACTATAAGTGTAGCGTATGAGAACTAATACTAAGACTGTAGGTAAACATATATATATTTATACTAGCTGAACCGGCAAACGTTGGTTTGCTATATAAAGAAATATTGGTTGGTGATAGGAAAGTAAAAATTTTGTGTTGTACGCATTTTTTAATGCTACATTATAAATAAATAAAAACAAAAAAAAGTCCAAAAAATAATTAATAATGAACAGCCCTTATGACTTAAATGTATGAAAAATAGATGTTGTCCGATTCTCAGACCTACTCAATATGCTCATAAAACTCCATCATAATCGGTCAAGCCGTTTCAGAGCTCTCTGTCTAACACCGCGACACGAGAATTTTATATATAAGATATAAATGTCTTACAAATTATATACTATATGTAATAATTTTAAAACTATTTATTATTAACGAATACAAATTTACATTTAATTATAACAGAAAAAAATAAATAATACAATTATTGAAAACGTAATAATTATCATTTTTCCACCTGGATCCTCTGTAACACTTCACCTGGAATTTTTTTCGATAATTCGTACACCTGGTAAAATTAGGTGACAGGTCTTTATCTAATATTTTATCTGAACGTCAATTATTGTGAAATTCATACACTGTTTTGATAATAGATTGTTATATACATAGCTTTTACTGCGGTTTTTTCTGTTAAATGAATTAATATTATTTGTTATACCATTAATAGAAGATTTTGTCGTCTAATTCGACTTTTTGATAATGGAATTAACTCAAGATGAGATTTCTATAAAATATATTATGTATGTTGATTAAAAAATAATCTCAAAGATTTATAATTTTTTTCTACTAAAAAAACCACAAACAAACATACACAAAACATTTTTTTATCTTTAAGATATATAGGAATTAATAATAAATGTTTTATCAATATGTATTAACATAATCCATTCACCAAATTCCGTTACGTGAGTTTATTCACGTGAGTGACGTAGTAATTACGTGATAATTTACTTAGAAATTCGTCTAAAGATAACCAGTTTTTAAATGAAACTAATATTTTTCGGATGTACTATAATCTACATACTCCCGACGTTTCGGCTACTTTACAGCAACCGTGAACAATCCTTACCACTCAAGGGTATGTAAAATAGATAGTAGCCGTTTCTCAGACCTACTGAATACGTAAATAAGATTTGGTAAAAATATGTAAAGACGTTTCATAGGAGTACGGTAACTAATATTGTGATATGGAAATATTATATATTAGATTAATAACATATTGTTAGAATTGAAAATACGTTATGATTTATAAAATCAAACGTTAGCCGGCCAATGGACAATTTATTAATATTCGAGACTACTTAGATCTAAGTTTTTTTCTCTGGACAATAGTTTAAGACAAAGTGTCAGATTGTCAGTAATGGCGCTCCTTATATAGGTGGCTTGAGGGTTGATAGTTTAATAATTGATTATTATTTAACAATATATATAACTAGCTGACCCGGTAGATTTCGCACTGCCTCAATCAAGAAAAAAATTATGTCTTATTTATTTTTTTGGTGTTTACCTTTAAGTCATAAATCTCCGTGTTCTGAAGTGCGACAAAATGATTGACATATTAGTAAGTTGTCAAATCTAATGCCAAAAAACCGTTTGTATGGGAAATAAAAAAGCGCTGTTTTTAGGGTTTTCCCGGAAATTAATAAAATTTTTTCAGCTTTTAAACCTTCCCTGAACCTCCACGAACATTTCAAGATTATGATAAGATAAATCCGTTCAGTCGTTCTCGAGTTTTAGCGAGACTAAGGAACAGCAATCCATTTTTATATATATAGAAGATATATAGATAGATTTCATCATTCCTATTGTACATAATCTAAATATTTTCTCAACAGCCATCCACGAGATAGCTCACAACCTGGCCTTCGGTCACAATAGATCTCTCCACAACCGTATCTTCGGTTTCTTCGCAAACCTACCCATCGGTATACCGATATCTATCAGCTTTAGGAAATATCACTTGGAGCATCACAGGGTAAGTCAATTCACATAATATTACTAGCTTTCCGCCCGCAGCTTCGCCCGCGTGGAGTTCGGTTGTATCGCGTTTCCAAGAGAACCTTTCAAGAGTCTGGGATAAAAACTATCCTATGTTCTTTCTCAAGGTCAACTCTATCTCTGTACCAAATTTCATTAAAATCAGTTCAGTGGTTTAGGCGTGAAAGCGTAACAGACAGACAGAGTTACTTTCGCATTTATAATATTAGTAGGGATATATTATAAGCAAATCTTCCCAAAAAGGGTTGATGTCAGGCTGGCCGGTCGTAAAAACAATTAGCAAAAATTATTCACAACATGTAAGCCAGACCCTGGCTATAGCTATAGCTGGGAAATTGCCAGGTTGAAGAAGAAGATATATACAAGCAAATTCTAATCACATTTTGATAGGATTTCCACCAATTATAAGACATTATACGAGATATGTTTTTGTTTTTTTATCAATATTGTACGTAGCAAACGAAAGGACTGACGAATTTTTTTATATAGATAAGATTATATCGTGTATTCGAGATTACATCACTCTTATTCTTGAATGAAAATGTAATATTTTTGGATTGTGAAATTTTTATCAAATAAAAAATGATTATAATAAATACATAAAAAATTATTGCAATTTTATCTTAATGATATGTGTTTATGTGAATTAATGTTGTTAGCAAAACGTAATGAAATTTTCCAATTAAAAAAGCATAGTAAAGTTATATTTTTAAATAATTATAGTGCCAAAATTATCATGGACCAAAAATTGCATAAAGTATCAAAAAAATCTTCTAAAGTCTTTTAGAATATACAAATAGTTATCTTCATTTAAATGAAACTAATATTTTCGGATGTACTTTATTAATTTACCAACATACTCCCGACATTTCGGTTACTTTTCATCAACCGTGAACCTAGTAATCAGAAAATATTAGTTTCATTAAAATGTAGAAAAGTAGATCCTAGTATCAAAAAAACTTCCAAATTCTTTTAATAATAGTTTTTTTTTCTTACAATAGTACCAAGGGGACGAAGTGATAGATGTTGATTTACCAACGCTGTTGGAAGCCAAGTTATTTTGTACTACCGGTGGTAAACTACTATGGGTTCTACTTCAACCATTTTTCTACTCACTCCGACCGTTAGTAGTAAGACCCAAACCTCCCACACCTTTGGAGCTCGTCAATTTAATCATACAACTGTTCTTCGATGTCGTTGTCGTCAAATTATTTGGTGAGTATCCATTAAAATCAGAGATTTTCTTACTTAGTTTGTGTGAAAGAGAATTTTTTTTAGTGCCATAATTATTTGCATACTGAAAAAATACTATAAAACTTATCCTAGCTAAATAAAATGCATATTTTACACAACTTAACACAATTCCCACATTTTTTTGTGTCTCTTACCACCCCTTAAACCTGCAGTGATCAAAAAAATTATCTAAATAGATGTTTTGTATAAACTTTAATTTATTGCTTGACAACAAGTTAAAGATATCAATATATTTATTAAATTAAAATTTAAGCAGAGTACATGATAATTAATAAATAATTTATCAAAACAAGCTGGATTTGAACCTACGTCCTACATCAGTCATTTTGTTTATATTTGCATCATCATTTAAGCCATTATACATTTGCTATGTTAAGTCTAAACTTAGCTTATGTAACACACACAATATATTAAAACATACATTTAAACTTTTATTTACATATGGATACCTCCCAAGTAAGTTTTATGTCACAAAAATGCTATTTTGCTTTTTTCCGAAAAATATCCTATTATACAGCCACGGGCAAAAGTATTAGGCACCCTACAGTAAGACAAGTTTTAGGGTGTTTTAGCATAGCGAGTGTAAATAAAACTGCATTTATGATTACAATGGTTTATTTTAAAAAAATAATTAATATTTTGTAGGTCCACCTATTGACTTAATAACCGCAGCCACTCTTTTTAGCATTGACTCTACCAGCCTGAAACATTCTTCTCTTGATATATTTTTCCATTCCTGCTGTAACGCGGCCAATAGAGCTTGTTTATTGCTAATCGAGTGCCTGCGGATATTTTTCTTTAAAATGGACCAAATATGCTCAATCGGGTTGAGGTCTGGTGATTGTGGTGGCCAGTCCAAAAGATCAATATGATTTTCAGCAAACCACTTCATGGTATGCGCGGACTTGTGGCAAGTGGCGTTGTCTTGCTGATATTTCAGGCCGTCGGTGTTTGTATCACCGAAAATTTGCGTTATCGACGTTGCTAGTGCTGTTTCCAGAACTTCAGTGTATTTAACACTATTCATTCGTCCCTCACACAACACCATTTCGCCCACTCCGTCGGCAGCCATGCAGCCCCAGATCATTATTGAGCCTCCACCATGCTTAACAGTGAGAACCACACATTCTGGGTTGTATTCTTCGCCAACCCTTCGCCTAACATAAGTCACATCGGGTGTTCCAAACACCTATGCCAAACGAAAAAAACCCATTTATTTTCAAAGTTATTATTTTTCTTGCAGTACGTTATTTTAAAAACATTTATGTGTTTTAATATTGTACATAAAATAAATAACAATACCTCAAAGTTAGATTCATCTGACCGCAGTATGTTGGACCAATCTTCCACTGACCAATCTCTATGTTTGAGTGCCCACTCCAGCCGATTTTTCTTATTGTGTTCTGACACCCACGGCTTCTTCCTTGCTGTACATCCTTTTAATCCAGCTTTAAGAAGTCTTCTTCTCACAGTATAAACACTCACTGAGCTGCCTTTTGCCTCAGATAATGCTGCAGCGAGCTCTAAAGCAGTTTTTTTCCTGTTTTGTAGAGACTGCCTAATCAACAATCGATCTTCCCGTTCAGTAGTAACTTTTCTTCTGCCTGTTCTTGGTCTATTTTCATGGGTGCCAGTCTCTTTTAACCGATTTATAGCATATTGAACTGCACATCGCGAGCACTTCACTTCTCGGGCTATTTTAACCTGAGACATGCCTTGTTCATGTAAAATCTTTATTCTTAGACGCTGTTCAGCACTTAGTTCAGATTTTTTCGGCATGATTAACACGTTAAATGTTAGTCTTTAGAATTGTGATAGGTATAGTTGCGTAGAAGACGTGTATGTTCACTGCAAGCACTGATAACACACTATAACCCGAAACGCAAAAAAAGCAAATTCGAAGAAACACCGCTTAGGAGCACACCTGGATGTCATAAATATTTTCTTTTATCTTAATTTGGTTAAAAATTGCCGCTAATACAATAGCTAAACCATAAAACACACACTTGACCGCTATCTAATGAGATAGTGACTAACAATAGGGGTGCCTAATACTTTTGCACGCAGCTGTAGATCATTATATCCATTCAAAGTACAAAAACAACTAAAATACTATTTTTAAGGATTTGTCAGATGCATATCTAACGTAGTAATTTTCAAATTTTGCAGATTTTGGTTTAATTTGAATCTTTGAAACACTCTACTGTAAATTTACAGTTTTTACTATAATACAACAACTTACGTGGGAGGTATCAATATATACATATATAAAATTTTAAATAATTTCTCATGTATAATTTTTCAATTTCCAGGTTTCAAAGTACTCGGTTACTTACTGATAGGATCTTTACTGTCCATGGGAATGCATCCAGTTGCCGGTGAGTTAAAGCTAATATTTACAAGAACATAGAATAATTTGCAATTATTATAATAATTCCAAGTCAAAATATTAGCAGTACACAAAATTTTAGAATAGGAGAATTTCATTAACAAAACTAATGTATTTGTATATAAATCTATTATATTATTATCTATATATTATATACTAGCTGACGCGGCAAACGTTGTTTTACCATATAAGAAAATAAGGGTTGGGAATAAAAATAGTAAAAATTTTAGGTTGTATGTATTTTTAATTCTACATTATAAAAAAAAAAAAAAAAATTTCGTCCGAAAAAAAAATAGTGAACAACCCTTATGACGTAGGGGATGAAAAATAGATGTTGGCCGATTCTCAGAGCTACTGAATATGCCCACAAAACTTCATCAAAATCGGACCAGCCGTGTCGGATCAGTTCTCTGTCTAACACCGCGACATGAGAATTTTATATATAAGATATATTTCTGAATAATATTTCTCAATCAGTATAAGTCAGTGGTGGCCTAGTGGTTAAGAGGCCCGCCTCTCATGCATGAGGACGCGGGTTCGATCCTGGGAAGTACCAATCTAATTGTTCCGAGTCATATGTACTTTAAGAGTATTTAGACATAACTGATTAACGCATTCCCAAAAGAGGGTTGATGTCAGGCAGGCGGATCGTAAAAACAATTTGCCAAAACTATTCACAACAAGTAAGACAGACCCTGGCTAAAGCTGGGAAATTGCCAGGTAGAATAAAAATCACTATAAGCTATTAATAAATCTTCATAATTCTTCAACCAGGCCACTTCATATCCGAGCACTACATGTTCCGAAAAGGCTTTGAGACTTATTCATACTACGGACCCTTGAATTGGATCACATTCAACGTTGGCTACCACAATGAACACCATGACTTCCCAGCTGTACCGGGCAGAAGATTACCAGAGGTTAGTGGAAAATACTTGAAAAACACTCAAATTATATGAAAACACTAGCTTTCCGCAGCTTCGCCCGCGTGGAGTTCGGTTATATCGCGTTTCCAAGAGAACCTTTCAAAAGTCTGGGATAAAAACTATCCTATGTTCTTTCTCAACGTCAACTCTATGTCTGTACCAAATTTCATTAAAATCAGTTCAGTGGTTTAGGCGTGAAAGAGTAACAGACAGACAGACAGAGTTACTTTCGCATTTATAATATTAGTAGGGATATTAAATAATATTTGTTAACTTAAAAACATTTTAACTTAAAAACACTGAAATTATGCTTATAATAACAAACGTATTGTATTCATACCTTATTTAATATTATTATTATATAATAAAAGAGTAATGAATAAGATGAAATTACATTTGTTATTATCTCGGCTAGTATTTTCAATTTAAATTCACCTCAATTGGTAGTTTTATACATTTCACACTATATCTGACACAAACATACATACATATCGATTTAAATAGTTTCCAAATTTGCGTGTCTTGCGTATATATCTGAATCGAAAAGAGCTATCGAAAAATGGTTCAGAGAAAGTTGTATTTTTGACTATGCACACATTTCAGAACTACCTCTCAGGTAATATCTATAATACTGAAATGTAATTTCTATAATACTGACAGGTAATTTCTATTTCCCAGGTAAAGCGTATAGCCTCTGAGTTCTACGATGACCTTCCCCAACATCACAGCTGGTCTTCAGTGTTGTACGACTTCATCATGGACCCGGACATTGGACCTTACGCGAGGATCAAGAGGAAACACTACGGACTAGAGAGTTAGAAAAATTTGATACGATCTGTGGAATATTAAATAATGTAATTTATCAATTATAGACCTGAAATGTTAAATATATATACACACAAATATCTATATATATATAAAAGAAAGTCGTGTTAGTTACACTATATATAACTCTAACGGCTGTACGGATATGGTTGAAAATTGGTGGAGAGATAGATTAGAACAGGGAGACGGACGGAGAAAAAAAGTTTATAAATTCCAATATCTGGTTATTTATGGCCTCTAGAGTCTGCCCGGTCAGTTATACATATATTACTAATTCCGTAATTAACGAGGACGAAGTCGGGGTCACAAACTAGTACATATATGTATATATGTGTGTATGTATATAATTTTGGGTCTAAATCATTCTCTTTAAATTAATTTTCTGTAGTTTCGTTAAACGTTACATTTGATCTTATTTATAATCCTAATCCTGTTTTTATTAATAAATATAATGTCAGATTATTTTGTTAATTTGTATTATTTTATAAAGTAGTATATTTTTTTATTATTATTTTCCCTAATAGTTTGTAAAGTTGAAAACTAGGTTTTGTTATAATAATAATAATATTAAATACTGAAATATATGAAAAACATTTTCACTAAAACTTATTTATGAGTGTGTACACTTATTTGTTAGTAAGATATTTTAAATGATATTCTTTAAATTCAATATGCATTTATTATAAACTATAACAGTCCCAGTCAAAGCTATTACCAAAACTATATATATTAATTATGCATATTTTTATAAAATTTTATGCATGTGTACAAATTTTTAGCATCTGTACACAGAAACTGAGAAATACTCGTATGCAAACCTTTTGTTTGGCTTAGAATATATGAGTAACTATGTATATTTTATGTAAATATACTTGACATCATGTACACATTATGTTGCAATGATACATTGTAAAAGGTAAGATAGTATTTTTATAGCTGTTTTGCAGTAAGTGTGTACAAAATAAGCAAATTTGTACATAATCTGTACACGATGTCTGCAACTAAGCAAGGTCCATTACAGGATATATGTATAAACTGTTTCTATGTATGTTGTAATAAAATGTTTAAATCATTATCTTATTTAATTTCATGACTCTTAAACAAATATAGTTTTTAAAAGACTTAGTATTTATTTAGAATTGTTAACAAAAATTTTAAATATTTGTACAATTTTTCTATTTTCTTGCGGTTTCGGTCAAATTTCAATTATATTATTATTAGAGAAATTAAATTCTTGCATTAATCGACCTTCAACAGACAATGTTACTACATTGACCCTGATTTTTTTGCATAATACAAACTTGAATAATTTCTCACTATTTTATGATCAAAACACATTTTTTCTAGAACAATTTGTCGCCTGAGTGCTTATAATAATTGTCAAATGCAATAAATGCCTGTATTATTTAATCATGTACAGGTTCATTCAAGTTATCTTGAGACTTGTCGAATTTTTTAAAGATATCAGTTAAAAAATTGGATATTTAAATAAAACTATATTAGTACATAATATATTATATAATATTAAAAAATGGACGGATGATTTACAAGAGATACAATACAAAATTAATTAGTTTGTGTATAAAACAGTACTTCGGTGAGATAAAATCTTAATTATTTTACGTTATACATTCATTAATGTACCAATTACTTAAACAGTACATATATTTCAATATAATTTAAGTTTCAATATTGGTAAGGGGGCGTTCATAAAATAACCGAGATTTAAGGAGGATAGGGGTCGAGTTAAAATATCACTTAATTTTTTCTGAATGAAACAAAAAACCTATATTGGTCCATTTAATGCAGATTGTACATACATATAAGATTTAATTTCAAACGTAATTGTTATACGATGAAGATCCTCCCCTAATTAGTTTAAAAAAAATGCTTTTATACTTCGAAGTTATACATTTGATGACTGTCACAGGCCCCCATGAAAAAAACTCCAATGAAATTGGGGGAAGGGGGTTGAATAAATTCTCACGACATCTCACCAAGGCAGGGGAGTCAGAAATTTCAAAAAAACACCTCACGTAATTTATGAACGCACCCTAAGTCGTTTTCTTATATTAAAAACATTTAAGGCACTATATTTAACAATTACATTAATAATTACGCATTAAAATTATGTAAATTTGGACGGAGAGTCAAACTAAGAAGGGCTTAGTTAATAAGCTAATTAGTTAATAATGTTACTTCAATTTACTCTTGTGCATAGTAAACATCAATTAAAGATACTTTAAGACTTAAATTTATTTATAAAATGTTAAAAAAAAGATAAACGTGTGCTTTAGACCACACGACTGAAGTAAAACTTCTTTCGCTCTATCTATATGTAATGTATTATATACATAGAATTACATACCCCTAAATCATAAGGTTTATTCACCCTAATTTTTTTCGGACGAATTTTTTTATTTTTATATAATGTAGCGTTAAATATACATACAACACAATTTTTATATGGCAAAATAACGATTGCCGGGTCAGCTAGTATATATATATGTTATGAACTGGCTATAAAAGGAAACGAGCAATGCGCGCACTGCTCTCTCCTACAGTAATATACAAAACGTAACTTTCAAGCATTCACCAGCTTACTCCCAAGTCAAGCATAAAGAAGAATTACTTCAAAAATCTGTAACATTTAATATCCTATCGCTGTAAAAAAAATATTTTGTCACTTCCATTACTCCCAACTAGATGGCGCTTATGTTTAAGAACTACTTTATAAAAATTTTCATTGATTTCAACTAACATCTAAATTTAATTAATCAGATCGTTATTTTATAAATCTTATATAAGGGGCCGTTCAAGTATTATGTAAGCACTATGGAGGGTTGGAGGGTCTTTGGTTTGCTTATTTTGTATGACATGGGGGGTAGAGGAGTCTAGATGATGATTACGTCATCGGTAGTTATTTACTTTTTTATTATCACATAGAGAAGATCCTTAAAAAAATATAATTATAATTTTTTTAATGCATTTATATAAAAAAAACAATTCAGTAATTAACAATGTTTACGTAAGCATGGGGGGAGGGGGTAAGAGCTTTGCTTACTTTTGCTGACAAGGGGGATGGGGGGGTAAATATTTGTAATAAATCTGCTTACGTAATACTTGAACGGCCCCACACTTTTCGTAACGCTTTCGTAACGCATTCATCAGCTTACTCCCAAGTCAAGCGTGCATAAAAAGTTTTACTTCAAAAATTTTTAACATTTAATATCCGATAGCTGTCAATAAGAATTATTTCGTCATTTCCATTACTCCCAACTAGATGGCGCTTATATTTAAGAAGTACTTTATAAAAATTTTCATTCATTTCAACTATCACCTAATTAATTATATATCTTATATATAAAGAACACAATTCCTATATAACACTATTGAGTTTATTTCACACATCGGTTTCCAAGGCTTGTCTGTGGGTCCCTTCTGTCTCTTGGTTCCCACAGACTATCTCCTCAGTAAGAGGTGTGATTTCACTAATTTCATATCATATTTGTGAGGCCGGCATCGTTGAAACAGTAGAATGAGGTGTAGTCGGTCTTGAACCGGCTAATGAAGCATTTAGAGAGGCCATTGTACCCATCTGTAAGTTAAAAAATAAATATTTATATATATACAGCATTTCTTTTGAAAATAATCATAAGTTTTAGTAATTTTTTGATTATAAATATATTAAATATGCATATAAGCATATATTTTAACAATTACCATTTAAAAATCACACAATATTGATTATTTTTGTAATATTTGCATAAATCCTACTTATATTATAATTGCGAAAGTTTGTGAGTGCGTGTGTATGTTTGTTACTTCTTCACGCTCAAACGGCTGAACCGACTTTGATAAAATTTTGTATACAGGAAGCTGACGTCCAGGAATAACACATAGGCTACTTTACAACCCGGAAATTCCGGAAATCCGCGGGTAACACCGCGCGGCGCAGCTAGTAAGCATATACTTATAATTATCATTTAAAAATCACACAAAATGTGATTAATTTTGTAATATTTCCATAAATAACATATTTTATATAATAATTTACCCTCAAGTGCGCCAAATCTTCTAATTTCGTCAAATCAGCTAGCTCTAGATACAAGCTATACACCAGAATCCATCCATAAACTCCGATTATGCAGAAAACCACCCAGAATAAACACATAATGATGTTATAGGCAAAAATCATGTCGTTTACTATAGAAGCAAATATGAAGGCAACAAATCTGAATAATATGAACACCCCAAATGAATACAGCCACGGAACAATACGTTTTTCATACTCCTGAAACAAAAAACACATATATGTACATATAATATGTTTAAATATGATAAGTATATATAACATACATTTAAAATAAATATGAGTTTAAAATCATGAGAATTGAAGATTTAATTTGAATTTTTTTAATTATTTTAGGGCTTTTTTTTGTATTTCAGATATATACATATACAGGGTGACTGGTGAATTACTATCAATATTTAAGGAGCATACTCCCCTACATGATTCTCATTCGAATTATGTAAAAAAAAATAGGTACTTAATTTTTGACCAAATTTCCGTATAAATAAATAAAGTGTGTACACGTTCCAAGTGTTCCAAGTGTGGACGCGTGCGGCGGCGTGCTGATACAACACCACGCCTCCGCGCGCGTATGTGTGAGTGTGTGTGTATACCTAATCTGTAGGGTGTTCATACGATGCGTAATTAATTACATAACTTTTGGTTAACTTTACTTAGAAGTTTATTAATATTTATGTTATATTAATTTTTATTTTGTCATATATGATCGTCAAATATCACGTCCTCAAATATCGATAGTAATTCACCAGTCACCCTGTATAATATATACACATTTTCCCAAAGAGGGTTGATGTCAGGCAGGCGGCCGGTCTTAAAAACAATTAGCCAAAACTATTCACAACATGTAAGGCAGACCCTGGTTAAAGCTGGGAAGTTGCTAGGAAGAAGAAGATAATATATACACATTATTAGGTGATTTAAATTATTCAATTTATGTAAGAAGCTAATGATAAGGCTGTGAAAAATAATGTTTATTATCAAGAATACATTTGTAATATTTTTTTGAGAAACTTTCTAAACAAAATATTATATATATATACCTTTTACAGAATTTTCTGACACAGTAAAGTTTATATTTGAAGCAAAACAAAAAAGTGCCAAATACACTCCAAACATGTGATTTTCAAATAAAAATTGTGAATATAATTTTGTGTAAATGTTCTACCTTATTTTTACCGGTTGTCACTAGCTAGTGATGGCATGAAGACAAAAATTATAAAATTGTATGAAATTTAAATAGTGATGTGCCAAAAATTGATATATGACCAGTGTTAGGTAAGGTAAGATAAAGAGAAGTTTTTTACCTCTTTTTGATAACACAAGAAATATAAAGATTTATTTATTTAAATAAGGGCAACTTACAAAACATACACCATTTATAGATTTTAAAATAAAGGTAATTACATTTTTAATTAAGTATTGTTTCAATTAAAAGTTATTACGGCATGGAATAGGACAGTATTTTCTATTAACCTAACACAACTTTTTTTTTCTACTTCAATGATACAAAAGGGGAAACAAAAAATACTACCAATAATAATACAATATAAAATTTAAATTACAAAAACAATAACGAATTACCAAGATAAGAGATGTAGGAGCTTTTCATGTTTTGTCTAGAGCCGATTCAAAATTAGCAATCAAGTAAAGTTATGGATGTTTAAAATGAGGCTTCTATTTATTGAAGAATAGCCAAAAATATTTATAAGAAAAAATATATATATAATACATACCTTCCTCAAAGCCATAATCAAGATGATGCTCGTAACTATAACAGCCACGGAGCCAATCCAGGAAAACAGTGAGAATACTACCAAGACGTTACGCACTGGAAAATAATACATTCAACATTCATGAAATTATTTTATAAGTTTTACTACTATAGTTGTAATATATTGTACTAATAAAGAACCAAATTAAAAATTAGTATTTAAATAATTTATTATCCTAAAAACTAAATACTATACGCATGTTTTCACTATACCTACTGGTTAATGGTTATATACAATACGAAAGAGCTACTGTTTTATATAAGAATTCTTGCTCGCCTGTAAAATTTTGCAGAATGAATCATATTATAAGATTGTACAATATGAATAAATGCAAAAAAGACATTTCCTGGATGATTATTGATATTTTATTTATTTATTAAAGTTTCTCACTAACATTCAATACAAATAAGTATGTGTTGTGTTTTACACGAGACTGTGTGATATTTTAATATCTATTTAATATTACTTATAGTATATTGTGTTATATTTGTGATCATGATTGTGTTTGAGGAACATTTACTCACGATTTGATGAAAATAACTATAATTTTGCTATCGGTCAGTGAAAATCACTTTGTTGTTTCAGAGATTACTCTGAACAGACAGACAGACATACTATAATTATATTCTATTGCATGTATATATATAACACACTTAAAAAATGATGAGTATCTGTAAATCATTCAATAGAAAAGTAGGCAGTTCTAATAGATTCTTTTCAATTTTGGTTAGATAGAGAGAGGAACTTAGACAGTGGACGTGATCGTATAACGCGTTAGATAGGGTCCCTTAAACCTATACCTGGGTCACAAGTCCCAGTCACTGTTGAAGCTCCTCTCACTACAACGATGGACCCGACACACGCACCGTGAATACATTGAATGATGAGAGGTTTCGTCTCTCTATATATATTAAACCTACACCTGGGTCACAAGTCCCAGTCACTGTTGAAGCTCCTCTCACTACAACGATGGACCCGACACACGCACCGTGAATACATTGAATGATGAGAGGTTTCGTCTCTCTATATATATTAAACCTACACCTGGGTCACAAGTCCCAGTCACTGTTGAAGCTCCTCTCACTACAACGATGGACCCGACACACGCACCGTGAATACATTGAATGATGAGAGGTTTCGTCTCTCTCTATATATATTAAACCTACACCTGGGTCACAAGTCCCAGTCACTGTTGAAGCTCCTCTCACTACAACGATGGACCCGACACACGCACCGTGAATACATTGAATGATGAGAGGTTTCGTCTCTCTATATATATTAAACCTACACCTGGGTCACAAGTCCCAGTCACTGTTGAAGCTCCTCTCACTACAACGATGGACCCGACACACGCACCGTGAATACATTGAATGATGAGAGGTTTCGTCTCTCTATATATATTAAACCTACACCTGGGTCACAAGTCACAGTCACTGTTGAAGCTCCTCTCACTACAACGATGGACCCGACACACGCACGATGAATACATTGAATGATGAGAGGTTTCGTCTCTCTATATATATTAAACCTACACCTGGGTCACAAGTCCCAGTCACTGTTGAAGCTCCTCTCACTACAACGATGGACCCGACACACGCACCGTGAATACATGGAATGATGAGAGGTTTCGTCTCTCTATATATATTAAACCTACACCTGGGTCACAAGTCCCAGTCACTGTTGAAGCTCCTCTCACTACAACGATGGACCCGACACACGCACCGTGAATACATGGAATGATGAGAGGTTTCGTCTCTCTATATATATTAAACCTACACCTGGGTCACAAGTCCCAGTCACTGTTGAAGCTCCTCTCACTACAATGATGGACCCGACACACGCATATGAATACATGGAATGATGAGAGGTTTCGTCTCTCTATATATATTAAACCTACACCTGGGTCACAAGTCCCAGTCACTGTTGAAGCTCCTCTCACTACAACGATGGACCCGACACACGCACGATGAATACATTGAATGATGAGAGGTTTCGTCTCTCTATATATATTAAACCTACACCTGGGTCACAAGTCCCAGTCACTGTTGAAGCTCCTCTCACTACAACGATGGACCCGACACACGCACCGTGAATACATTGAATGATGAGAGGTTTCGTCTCTCTATATATATTAAACCTACACCTGGGTCACAAGTCCCAGTCACTGTTGAAGCTCCTCTCACTACAACGATGGACCCGACACACGCACCGTGAATACATTGAATGATGAGAGGTTTCGTCTCTCTATATATATTAAACCTACACCTGGGTCACAAGTCCCAGTCACTGTTGAAGCTCCTCTCACTACAACGATGGACCCGACACACGCACCGTGAATACATTGAATGATGAGAGGTTTCGTCTCTCTATATATATTAAACCTACACCTGGGTCACAAATCCCAGTCACTGTTGAAGCTCCTCTCACTACAACGATGGACCCGACACACGCACCGTGAATACATTGAATGATGAGAGGTTTCGTCTCTCTATATATATTAAACCTACACCTGGGTCACAAATCCCAGTCACTGTTGAAGCTCCTCTCACTACAACGATGGACCCGACACACGCACCGTGAATACATTGAATGATGAGAGGTTTCGTCTCTCTATATATAATAAACCTACACCTGGGTCACAAGTCCCAGTCACTGTTGAAGCTCCTCTCACTACAACGATGGACCCGACACACGCACCGTGAATACATTGAATGATGAGAGGATTCGTCTCTCTATATATATTAAACCTACACCTGGGTCACAAGTCCCAGTCACTGTTGAAGCTCCTCTCACTACAACGATGGACCCGACACACGCACCGTGAATACATTGAATGATGAGAGGATTCGTCTCTCTATATATATTAAACCTACACCTGGGTCACAAGTCCCAGTCACTGTTGAAGCTCCTCTCACTACAACGATGGACCCGACACACGCACCATGAATACATGGAATGAAGAACAATTTCATATCTATGAAAGTAAATTTTTTGTTAGTTTTATTATTAACTCACCAGCAGGGCTTCCAACATATACAAATTGAAAGCTGAGCACGTAATAACCATAATGAACGGCACCAGGGCTTGCCATGCCGAGACAGTAGAGGTCAAAAACGCTTTGTGCAAATGTAAACAGGGCTATGAACTGAAAAAATAAGATTTCATACATAAGATTCATTATATGAACATATTAATTATAATCAAGTTCGATTTTATAGCATTAATCTTTATATATAAGAAAGTTGTGTTAGATACACTATTTATATCTCAAGAACGGCTGTAGGGGTATGGTTGAAAATTGGTGAAGAGATAGATAAGAACATAGAAAGGACATAGGATACTTTTGATCTGATTGAAAAAGAAAAAAATATAAGATCAAATTCTTAAAAAATCTTCTTATCTACTGTCTTTGAGGAGGAATACAGTTTGCCCGATTAACTATATGTATATATCTAATTCTAAAAGTAACACAGACAAAGTATCAAGCAAAAACTAATTAAGCATAAAAAGTGATTATTTATCTAATATCTTCTTCTTCTACCTGGCAATTTCCCAGCTACAGCCAGGGTCTGCCTTACATGTTGTGAATAGTTTTTTTTTGGCTATTTGTTTTTACGACCGGCCGCCTGCCTGACATCAACCCTCTTTTGGGAATCAACATTAATCAGTGATGTCTTAATACTCTGATTATTTATCTAATATATACATACATAATTAAATTTAAATACAAAGAAGAGATATTTACCGAGTAATATACAAAAAGTTTAAAACTTACCAAGGATATAAAACCTGTAAGGAGTGAACCTCTTTGTAGATCGAGGACATAAGCATCGTGTAATATTGGTTTCTGGTACCACGGGACCCTTAAGGATTTCAAAGACTTCGACGATCGTAAGTTCGAAGTTGATCTGTGAAAAACGTGAAATTAATTGTCCATCAGAGAGTATTTAAGGAATGAATATAGATGGAATACGGTCTTGAATGGAATTTAGACATATAAAACCTAGAAATACTTCATAAGTTTGACTCAAATAACATTGAAAGTATAATATTGATCAGAAATAGGCCACTAATGGCATGCAAACATAAGTAGACCTTCAGATTTAAATGATACGAAAAATTTTGAATATTTTATTTGTACTTACTTTCCCGTGTAATGGGAATACACAGAAGGTGTTGAACGATAAGTCGTCGGTGTTTTCCGGCCGTACATTGTATATATTTATTTATAATTCCTATTAAACATACAAACGGTTGACGCCCTAAATTGTAAACAATAAGTGAAATATAGGTTTTTATTAATTAAAAACTTATGCCACAGTCACATATCAGTCTTATAAGGTGTCTTTAGTGTGTTGTTGATATGAGATTCATTGTATTTTCGTTTTGTGTGATTATTTTAATAGAAATTATAGTTTCGTAAAGCCACACCTCCAACTATTAGTTGTTTAGAATTTGAAACATGTAATATGTCACAGTTAAGATCACAGAGTATATTTATAAAACTAATAATTTTTAACAGATTATAAATATATAAACTATACATTAAAAGAGGATGTGTGTAGCCTTCTTATTAAATATAGGTGATATCCATGATAATTTATAATTTATTTATCTATTAAGCTACTACTGCCCAATCAACTCACAAAATAGCATTCGACTTCCTATATAGGGCTATATGAAACAACTCTCTGAAGTAAATGTGACTATATGCCGTTACAATAATCATTTCTATTTACAGTAGGACCCCGATTATCCGGACCTCGGTTATCCGAATTCGCGATTATCCGGACTGCCAATCGCGACGAGTTTATTCTAATACTAGCCGTGCCCGCGACTTCGTTCGCGTGGAATAGTGACTATGAGCAGCATTTTTTTAAAAATATATACTTATTTTTATTTTGGATCATAATCACAGTCATTTTGGGTAGCTAAAAAACCTACTTTACTGTAATGCTTCTCTATATACAATATTAGACGTATGGCCATCGGGGTGAAAGCATACAGGCTGCTGGGATTGCTAACACGGGACAGAGCCACATACAATTGACACACCCGGTCGAATATTGAACGCAGTTCTTCAGTTCTTTAATTTGACATAACTTTTTTATTTATGAACCGATTGACATGAAACAAACACTAAAGCATACCACAATATATTCGTGAAAACCGCATCCAACTCGGATCAGCCGTTTCTTAGACTAGCGTGAACAGACAAAAAAAAAGTTAATTACATTTTTGGGTTCGACATCGACATAACAATAATCCCTGTTATTTTTTTTATTTTTATTTTCAATGTACAGACAGCACTTTTCTACAATTTTATTATTGTATGAATAGATTAACATGTCAGAACTTGCACAACGCCACGCCACTTATCACACTTGTACGTACATTATGTACAATTTCTTAATAAACGTTGATTTTCGCTCATATGTATTTGTTGTTTTAAATAAACACCTAACATTACATATGTATGGTACAGACTACATATGTACATATGCAAAAAGCCCGTTTTTCTTCATATATTGGATTATCCGGACTTTCACTTATCCGGATGCCTACCGACAACAATTAGTCCGGATAATCGAGGTCCTACTGTAATTCTTATAGTTGTATACTATAGGTCTTCTTCTACCTGGCAATTTCCCGGCTATAGCCAGGGTCTGCCTTACATATTGTGAATAGTTTTGGCTAATTGTTTTTTACGACCGGCCGCCTGCCTGACATCAACCCTCTGTTTGGGAATCAGCATTGATCAGTGATGTCTTAATATTCTTAGAAAGTACATATGACTCGGAAAAATCACATTGGTACTTGCCCGGGTCAGGATCGAACCCGCGCTCTCGGCAACGAGAGGCGGGCCCTCTAACCATTGGGCCACCACTGAGTTGTATACTATAGGTATGCAGCTAAAATAGAATTTCAAAATTTGTCCATACGCTTGATTGATATTACTCAAAGTATGTACCCAGTTATTGATAGGATTTGTTTGTTACAAAGAATATCTGTTCTTCTATGTACATTATATTCGTTCAAATCGGGGCATCAGAACAGTAGGGTAGGTATTTAATATGATATCATAGAAAAGTTTTGCTTACAAATCAAAATTTACAATTGACAAATATTATAAAGACACTAGAAAATCTTCCCTAGTACAATGTGAGCACCATCCAACCGCAGTGATAGTTTAGAGTTGTCTTAGTTATTAAGGTGTAACTAAAAAATATGTTTGTCAAAGACAGAGATTCTTCAAAGTTATTACAACAAAAGATCTTTAAGAGTTTGAGTCACGAAATTGTTTTTGTTAAAGGACTATTGCAGCCCAAGGAGAACACCGAGTTAATTTCATATACATTTCAAGTTACATATTAATTTATGAGTTGTGCCAACACTAAGGACGGGTTTTCAACCAAGTTATAGTGTTAATATCAATCAATTCGCGTTAAATATACTCAATATTTAGGTCAACTTTCGTCTAAAAAGAATTGCAAATAGTGCCTGTAGTACCCCAATATCAAGCTTTAAATGAAAGAATTTTTCCACACATTATTTCAAGTGGTACACATACACACGCGAATTGGTGAATTGCCATAGCAGGTCCCAAATCGCCCCCAAATACGGGCAGGAAGGGAAGCCGGGGAGTTTTAGTGGGTACACATACACATGTACACAAAAACAAACGCATAGTGACTTCACAGTATATAATTTTAACTTTTTTCGCAGACTTGCCTCCGCAAGTACTCACTGTTCACATAGATAGGACCACACTGCCACAAACATTTAGGACAATCCAAACGGTCAATCTTCTTGTCTTGCAAGTCGATCCAAGTGTTGGAGGTCACGTCATTTTCCATCAACTTCCATTTCCGGATGTTCTCCTCAATCCCGCTCCTTTCGTGCAGATATTTTGTCAGCTTTTCGATTTTTTCAGCTGCGGCGACGCTCAGTTCCTGGTTTGCTGATTCAATCACGCTAGATTCTGGTAAATCGGAAACCTCTGTACGGTTCTCAAACGACAGCTCCCAAGGGTCGTCCGCCGGGGTCGCAGCTGTAACATTTTCGCTTATACAGTTACGCACCTAAAACAAAACAGCAATGTCATTTTATTTTGTACATGTAAATAAACACTTCTACTCAACCTTCAAGACTTTTTGGCGATTTCGACTGGTAATAAATAACTAAATAGTTTACTATTCCGTAGTAATAAATAACTAAATAGTTAAAACTTAACTCCGATACAGTTAAGTTTTAACTTAAGGCATAATTTTCTTTGAATTATTTTAAATTCGACCAGCTAACAAAGACTCTTATATATCAATTCTAGTTTTCACCCGCGACTTCGTCTGTGTTAGTTTTAGAATTAGAAATGTATAGCTGATCGGGCGAACTCTAAGACAGTAGATAGGAAATTCTGAGTTTTTTTTCTATTTCGATCACATGAAAAGTATCCTATATATTTCCCTTGTTCTAATCTATCTCTCCACCAATTTTCAGTAAAACCCGTACAGCCGTTCTTGAGTTAAAAACAGTGTAACCAACACTTTATATACATATAAAATCAAAGTTTTAATGGAAGATAGGTATAAAATTACATTTTTTGGGTTCATTTTGCTGGAACCAATCCTGGGGGCCAGTCCCACATCTGCAGAAAGGCGGCTGCTGGCCCTGCATCACGAAAACAAACGGCACAGACTCCTTGTTGCCCGTCATGAAATCGCGCATGTTCTCAGCAAACTGGGCATTGTTCTGCCACTGCTCGAAGCAGTTCCTGAAGAACTCTGACGGATTGTCGCGATTACGGCTCAGCACGTGCTGGTTGAAACACTCCTCGCAGAAAACCTGGCCGTAGTATATCTTCAGGTTTTTTGTAGGTATCTTGCGGCAGAAATCTATTGGAATGATTTTGTGAGTGAAATTTTGGATTAAACTGGTATGGGATATGATAAAAAAACTCGTTGCAACAAAGACCAAGGCTCATAATTACTAACAGCATTGAGCACACTGCTGGTGGAAATTTTGGTCACCAATGGTCACCCGGTGACACTCATCAACATGTTGGAGACACCTTGCACAGATGTAACGCTTCGGCGGCTCTTCAGATGATTCAGGCTTGGAATCTATACGAAACAATGATTAATTATGACTATCATCTCTCTAAAAGACATTTCTATTTACTTTAACGGACAAACGGCTAATGGTACAATCTAACTGCCAATATAGTACAAATGTTGCCGTTCTTAAAAAATAGAAAAAAAAAAGTATATCCAAAGTCTTAGCATCTAATTTTCGGACCCTTAACTAAGTGTAATAAGTTCTCATCCTTTATATAGGATCGGTGTCAATGAACAAGTTAGGTTCGTTATACTAAAATAGGTCTGCTCTTTAAATAAAAATTACTACCATTAAGACTGATGGTCAAGCCCTACCTTCAGTTTTCTCCTTTTCTTGAGGTTTCATACCAGGCGCCCATTGCATCCACCAGCTATTTGAATGAATACGAGAGTTCTCTCCCTTGAAGCGGCTCATGACGTGAGTCTTGAAGCAATCGTTGCAGAACACGTGGCCGTAGAACATTTTGAGAGAAGTTGGTATTGTTCGACAAACACCTGTATTAATTTACTCATACATTTTTAGAAATAGTAACAACTCCGACAAAGTAATAATGTTTAATACGTAGAAATACAAATCGGAGCAAAAGTATATAAATTCTTATTGGGATAGTGCTTACCATCAAGTCAAAATAGTTAAGCAGTACCGGTAAATAATAATAAATCGTTATGGGTTAATAATACTCTTAATTTACTTACAACACATGCTGCATATTCTGTGGAAGTTCTGACCCTCGATGTCGACTTTATCATCACCTTCTATTGGCAAGAAGCATCTTGCGCAGAAACATTTTTTACTGTCTTGATTTTTATCCATTGTGAAATAGTATTAATGAGAATTTATTATAATAAAAAAAATGAGAAAAAGAATCAGCAAATTTCCATGGCAGATTGTTGTCAGGTACAAAATGAAATAAGAATTAAGTCGTAAAACAAAAGTTACTTTGTGGAATTAATTTAAGAACAGATATGAATTTACTTCTGGCCAGCCCAGAAGAAACAGACTGTATGTGTAATGACATTAATAAAAAAAAATTATTAAAATATTTTCCTTTTGATGAACTAATGAACCAAAATTATTTTAATGTAATAAATAGTGAATAAAATATTTATTTAAATTTATTTTTTATATGTAGCTACTCCGATACAGTTGTCACGATGACAGGACAACACTAGTGATTAAGGGAAGGTTATGACGAATCGTACAATAATGAAAAAAATGCATGACATCATTAGTTAACGCGTTTGTTGTGTGACCGTTGTTATCATGTTTTTATCTAAAAGTGATGTTTTTTGAAGTTGTTTCATACTAAATCCGTGTATATATAGTGGTAACGTTATCAAATTGTTTATTTCTTATCAGGTTACGCGATAATATGTATGCTTTAAGAATTTTTGTAAGGTTATACCTGTAACTGTACGAAACGAGACTAGATTCATGTTTTTGACTTTTTATGTTAGAAAATTTATCGTAACTGTATGAATGAGGTCGTTATACGATAAAATACCGGTCCGTTTACATATAAAAGCCAAATTTTCACAGCCATTGATCGATTTTAATGTTATATATTGGCAATATTAAAATACATTTTCCTTCGACCTAAATTTGTTGTGGTAATTTGGCGGGCAACCTTCGATTGCGTAAATTAATCCATTATATTACGAAACTGTATATTTGTATTGGACATTACGTAAAAGATTCTACATATGTAAATATATTACAAAATAGTTATTAATTTTTCTAATATATATATTTTTGTTTTATCATACACACACTGAACATGAGAGATAAGACTTAATTAAAAACTATGTATAAAACAAAGAGTAAAACTAAGAAATATACATGTATATAACAATTTTTCAATAAATTTTATTATATTAAAATCACATATTTTCATTCAAATCTAAATAACTGTATAAATACACTTATAAGTTAATATCTAATATTGTAATACTTCCTGTACCATTTATCCCGTAGTTTTGTAAAATTCTTTATTCATAACATAACTGTATTTTAATTTATAGTAATTATTTATTATTTTATTCAATCATTCCGATTAACATCCAGTATGTTTAATATGAATTTTGACTATCATCTTTAAACTGGTAGTAACTATTTCTTTATACATAAACCACACACACATATATATCTTCTACCTGGCAATTTCCCAGTTTTAGTCAGGGTCTGCCTACATGTGAATAGTTTTAGCTAATTGTTTTTACGTCTACCGCCTGCCTGACATCAACCCTCTTTGGGACCACACACACAATCCAATCTCTCATTAGAGATACTGTTAGCATTTAAGTCTAATTATCTTTTTTCTTAAAATATAAATGTTATATTTGTAGAATTTCATCAAAATCTGCACAGATTTATACATGAATTACCTCTAGTAGTAATATAAAGTTAAATTATATATATATAGTATGTTAGTTGTAATATATATATGTTTGTTTATTGTTACAGATTTGTACATCCGAATGTCAAGAAGAGAAAGATGTCTCGTCATGAGAAAGCAAAGAGCGGCTTTGTAAGTAAATAATATATATATAACAAATTTAATGCTTAGTTAATCTCAATATATACATAATTAACTTTATTAAAGTATTATATTCTTTATTATTTTATAACATTTGTGTTATAAGCATCTTTTCTGTATTTCGGTAATCATTATATTTTCCGTTTAAGTTGAGTCGGAAGCCCTAGGGCTGATATAAAAATTAATCACATATAATACCATTCCATAATTAGTAATTATTTGGATGTTTTTTCAGAAATTTTGGTATAAAATAGATTAATTGGTCTCAAAAGATTTTCTTTTGACTTTTATCTTTTAATTTATATAACAATTAGGATATTTATTGTGTGTTCTCTAAGTGTGATCATACAATTTAATCTATCAATATTGAGAGTTACATCAAAACGGTTACAGCCATTTTGGAGATTGGTCAGAATAGACAGATGGACATTGCCAGAATCTTCCAATTGCCAAATTCTTTGTCATATATATACATATATATGTATAAATTTTAGTAAAATAATACACACATACATATGTAAAAATTAAATAAGTCATATTAATGGGCTCTCAAAATTGTTCAGAATCATAAATAGTTATATACAGTTGTATACAGTTATATACAGTCGTATACAGTCATATACAGTTGTATACAGGTGACATTAATCGTAACATTACCTCGTATAACCTCTTCGTCACGGCAATCAGCCCTTATTAGTATTGTGAGGTAAATGATACTATCACTGACCTTAAATTACAATATAATATAATATTATAGTTGCCTTATATAAAATAATTACAGAATCACAATGTAACGGGTGACAGGCTTGCAATAATTATGAGGTTATTATATTAGTATATATAAATATATTTATTTTATATTATATATTATGTACTATATCTATAGGTCCTATGTATAAGGGCCAATGTACCAAATTAAGCCATTTTCATTTTTTTTTTGCTTTAAACACCTCATAATATTCTACAAGATTCATTTAAAAAATGTGTATTTGTTGGCAGAAAGACTTTTTATTGCAGTAAAAGGGCATAAGTAACACACTTTATAAAATATAACGGCTTATACATTATTTAAAAAACTAAGTTACTTTACAAAAAAGTGTCATCGTTTTAATATACAGTGCATTTAAGACAATGTCTTTTAATATTATACGACTGCCTTTTAGTCATAATGATAAAATATATATGTATGTATTGTTAAAAAAATAATTAGGTATATATACATATGACAACCCGGTATAAACATATCAAAGAATATATGAAGATTTTTTTTATTTTCATATTAAATGTTAGCTAAGTCGTCAATAGCTACACTTACCTGAACTTCGTTCTATCGTAATCAGTAACAATCCGACGGCCGCGCCGGCTGCACCTCTGTCCTATCGATTTGAATTTGGAACGCGTTCCATCAGTGATGGTGAAATTCGAATTTGGAACATTTTAAACGCGTTCTCGGATTTGAATTTGGAATAAAACCGATTTCTGATTTGGATTTGACGAGTTTGTTTCTTGATTTCGAATTTGGAATGTTTTATTTGCGATATCGTATTTGGAACGATTTGTGATTTGTGTGTGATTGGTTGTTTTATAGGAATGATTATTTGTATTTGTTTAAGTAATTCTTTTGTGTTATACGTAAGGAGTTGTGTTAAATATTTAACGTGCCCAACCTCTAAGGCTTTGTCATATACATTCTTTTAATATATATATGATATATCTTTCTTTATATTTCAATTAAACTTTTGTTTATATTATCATTGTTATATTTCTATTTCTGTCTCAGTTTAGTGATATTTGTAAATTGTTTTGCTAAGACGTCCGCCATTTTTATTTTATCTACATACACTTGGTGTATTAGTTAGTTAATTTAATACATGTATGATTGTTATTAAACAACCATTGTTAATATTTGTTTAGGAAACAATATTATCTTGCGTAATACAGTCTGTAATGCTGTTTGTCAACAAAATTCCTTTTGTGCCATTGAGTGCAGGCGACTTTATAGCTTAATAATTTAATATGCCTTATATTTGACAATTAAAGCTTATTTTTTCCAAACTCTGTATATGATCATTATAACTTTTGCTGCGTTCTTTGGCTATAGCAAAACATGGCATAATGACTCAATAATCGTGTAACAGGTTTTAGTCATAAAATTTTCGTGTATTATCATATGTCTAAAAGTTGTTAGATAGTGTAAAACTGACTTTATTAATAACTAAATATGTATGACCGGCTTTATTATTTCAAATTATTATTTATTATACACACACGTATCATGAGAATAAGCGACTATAAACAAAGCAATGAATTTCTTTTATATCTTCAATATTTATTATCGTCGTGATAAGGCTCGAATATTGTCGCTATTTAATTAAAAAAATGTATATATACATATATATGTGTGAGTGTAAGTAAAAGATAAAAATTTACGCGCGAAAATCAAAAATTCCAAATTCAAATTCACGTTCATTTTTATTCCAATCATCATTCATTTTTATTCCAACCATCAACTTTTATTCCTAAAGGTGGACGAATTTGAAACTCTTGTTAACAAATCCAGTGTTTAGTTTTCGTGGTATGAATTTGGTATGAAATTAAAATGTACAACAGTATGCCGAGATTGAAGAGGAGGGAAACGTGGAAGAGACGAAGCGGGGTGAGTTTATTAGTATGACTGATGAATGATCATACTATGAATGAATCAATCAATCAATATATATAAATTATCCCTACTAATATTATAAATGCGAAAGCAACTGTCTGTCTGTTTGTAACGCTTTCACGCCTAAACTACTGAACCGATTTTAATGAAATTTGGTACAGACATAGAGTTGACCTTGAGAAAGAACATAGGATAGTTTTTATCCCAGACTTTCGAAAGGTTCTCTTGTAAACGCGATATAACCGAACTCCACGCGGCGAAGCTGCGGGCGAATAATTTTCTTAACATAGAATGTTTGTTTTAGATAGTATAGTCAAACAAACATATGGCGGCTGTACTTCGATGACGTCACTCTGACGTCATTATACCTAATAAAATTATATTCTTTGATAACTTTAGTCCTTTCCAAGGAATTTTTTTGAACTAAACGAGTCAATTAGTTGCACCAAGTCATTCTTACCACATGTTTCGTCGTCATACTATAAACGCGGCGTTCGTAGTAAATCGTTATTATATCTTCACACATAGTTTATTAAATGAATTTACATTTCATTTTAATTTCTTTATAGAATTTCACGGGTTAAGCATGTCAAATATTACTTATTTTTACATTTA